ACTCTCCGTGACGCGTGGCTTCTGCCGATGCAGAGCTTCCTATCAATTTGCCTGTTACGGGGGCAATTACCGGATTCTGCTACTCGCAAAACTGGCTTGCATGTTTTGGCTCCTTCGTTATATTCGAAAATCTCCCACCTCGGCTCGCCTGCTCACAAATGGCCGACATTTCTTTTGATTTCGCTCTCAGCTGTTTGTCCGGTGTACTTGTTTGTGTCTGTGTCTGTCTGTTCTAATTTATTGAAGTAATTTCATAGATCACATCAAGGCCTGGCACCTCCCTCTCTTCCTCCAGCCATCCAGCCTTCTGTGGAATACAGATGCTTTCAAATGCCCCTAAGTGTGTTTTACTAGTTTTTCAACTTTCTGCAATAATTTATCTGGAAGGGGGGGGGGGTCCTTTTTTGGCCTTTTTTTGGAGTCCATTTGGAATTTCCCACAGAATCTCATTAGCCCCCCCTGCACCGGGATTTTTAATAATTACATTTTATGACCTCCCCAGCTGCCTTTGTGTGGCGAGGCAGGAGACAGCGGGGGTGAGGGGTGACACCCCCCTCTGCACCCCCGAGCTACATCCTGATTAAACTTAAAAATAAAATAGGCTAAATCATTTGGAATAAAAAAATTCGGAAAGTGATTGACGGAAGCATGGGAGGCATTTCGGGGGAATTCGGAAAAACGGCAGGCCGCAAATGAAAAACTTGTGGGGCTCCGGGGATCTGAAAACCCATGGAAACCTGGGGACAAGGCATGGCTGCATTGCCTCCAGATGCCCTTGGGCACGTCCCCTAAATTGCATAAGCCATGGCAGGGCCCGGTTGAAGTGATTGAGGTCAGGAGGCCGCAGTGCGTACGAATCCAGGTCGGCCGCAGGTGTTGGTATGTGCACCCGTCACGGCTATAACCCTATTTTCCACCTTGCGGGGTTGTTTCATCCCCACTACCTGAAGGCCGGGTGTCTGATGTATCCGATGAGCCCGGACATACGGTCACGGAGGTTGCGCCTCAGCGAGACTCTATTCTTCCACCCACAGAATCCCAACGCCTGACATCCATGGAACCACCAGTGGCGTCGTCCATGGATGGGCCAGGGGTGATGGAACGACCGCCACCTGTTCCTTCTTCCCCTTCATCTTCTTCCCGGGAGGGGCCGTGCCCGTTAGGCCATTTACAAGTCGTCCCCGAGGTCCCCAGAGAACCTGTTCTTGTCCCGCCTGTGGCCCGGCGACGAGGACCCGCTCCAAGACTGTTCGGTTTAAATAACCCACCCCTTCCCGTTGTCCTAATTATTCCAATGCCGTCTAGTGGGTAGTCACAGACGCGAGTCGGGCTGTGGCTGTCGGTTGAACTTAGGTCCTTCCTGTGCTCGTGGGCTGCGGCACGCTGACGGGTGTTGGATGTTGTTATATCCCGAGTGGCCGGGTTATTGCTGTGCATTCGCGATTTTTACTTTTGAGGTTATTTATTGTTCTCGTTAAGTTCAACTCACGGGAGGGATGACAGTTGTTTTGTTGTGTTCGTTATCCTGCTGCGCAAGGTATGGAGGTCAGCCAGGACGGCTGGTTTTTTTTTCACGGGGGGGGTGATGTAGTGACATGGAATGTGTCACTATGGCGCATAGCACTGGTTGCTGGCAGAGGTGGATTAGCAGGTGCAGTTGCCCTGTCTGCCAGCAGGAGGTCATGAGCCGGGGAAAATGGACGTGAGGCAAGGGGGCAGAGCGGACGTGAGGGAAGGGAGATAAGGGGGATGTGTGGTAAAGCAGTGGAACATTCTAGTGAGTTCTAGAAGGGGGGTGTGGCCGAAGGCAGAGTGGGGTCACGCGAGGTGGATAAAAGGGGGACCCAGAGCGAAGTTTTGGGGCTGTTGTTGGAGTGGAACCGTCCAACTGTTGGAGTCTTCGTCACCGCCTTCACCTTCTCGGCGTTGTAAGTTAGGCAGCCTGTTAGCTGTCCTGACCATAAATGTAGTTAACCCTTGTGCCTCTGAAGGCTGTAATAAATAGAGTGCCTCCTACAATTAGTGTCTCCGAGTGATTCACTCCACAAACAAGACTTGACAAACTAGACAGCACAAACGAGGCGGACAATACAATCTAGGCAATACAAAATGAGACAGACCAAACAGCACAGAGATACGAGGCATTATAACCAAATATAAAATTTCAATACCTGAGGCTCATAGAGCCAGGTTATGGCAGCCCACGTGCTATAATTGACAGGATTTGACATGTCAGCGTTTACCAAGTCAACCACCCTATTCTCCTCTCCTACAAGTTTTACACTTGTGGATATATGATGCTAGACCCTGACCCAAACCTTGAACCCAACAACTCTATGGCTGCTATACATTAATAACTACTGCTGGGGTTCGTGCCGATGACACTGGCTGCAGTTCCCCTCACATGGAGGCTTATTTGGCCAAGTTGCTTGAATGCATGCACGCACAACTGAGCCCCTTGCCTATTCAATGTGTTCATTCAGGACCACAATCCCAGACGGACCACAGCACTACATACGGTGAAAAAGACTCGCATGGTGCTGACTTTCCGTGGATGCCTCAAACACCTAAAATTCCATTGTCTAATTCACAATGTGATGCCGGGCTGTCAATCCTCATTGATTCTGTAATGTTGACGATATATTTTATTTTTTAAAGGAATTGTCAGAACAAACGTTAGTGGCCAGAAAAAATGTTGTTTATATTGATGGATTGTTTGCGACTTTTTTCTGTCATGTGTTTTTTTTTCTATGATTTTTATTTTCTTCATCGTTATACTTTGTTTTGATTTCATTGCTGTTGTCGTTTTACTGACCCTGTAAAACCACCCGGTCTTTTGAGTTCTCACCTTGTTAAACTAATGAATTGTAACTTGAATGCTGCAGCTGTTTTCAACCACAGTAATTCATACCAAGTTGCTCTATAACGTACGCATCTCAGAATAGCTGCAATACTGCGATACCACGATATATCGAAGATATAATGTTGGTTGACACCATTGGAACCTCATTTGCCAGTAAAAAATATGATAATTGTATTTTTTCCCTTCTATCTGGCAACAAAACTAACACCTTTTTTACAAGGAGTCATGTTTTCATAGACCACAATACCTGCAGCCATAATGCAAACAAAAAACCTAACTCTGATAATATATGCACTGTCTTGAAGTTGATTGGTCCACATCCGAGACAGCTTTCCTTAGAGCCTAGTCGCACATAGGTTGGACCAGATGACGCCAAAAGGCACACAACTCAAAGACAATGCACCATCAGAGTATGAGAGCTCGGGGTAAGCATTTGCACCATTGGAACGTCATTTGCCAGTAAAAAATCTGATAATTGTTTTTTACCCTTCTATCTAGCAACAAAACTGACACCTTTTTTTGTTTGCATTATGGCTGCAGGTATTGTGGTCTATGCAAACATGACTCCTTGTAAAAAAAGGTATCAGTTTTGTTGCCAGATAGAAGGGTAAAAAAACAATTATCATAACGTTGGTTGAGTTCTGTTCTCTCTTTGTTTAATCAATCACACACGTGCGATAAGAGGCGAATGGCTCTGCAGTTCTTCAAGTCTGTTGTGTCACTCTTTCTCACGATTGAGGCATCATTCGGTCGATGTACGTATTTGATTTCTGTGTAAAGATCTCGTGAACGCATCTGGTAATGTTGTTTGAGCAGTTGGTAGCGCTCCTCTGGTGATGTCCAGTTATACCACCTGGTTCAGCAGCATTCCCTTGTTTCGTGCTTTGAAGCGCAGAGGTGACTTTTTAAAGTGTAACGTCTGGAATGTTTTCGTTCCATTGTATCTGAGAGAAAGTCTGTTCCTGGGCTACGTGCAGTATTTTGATTTGTGGAATATTTTTATATACAAATATCTGCACATAATTCCTCCAATCATTTTGAGATTGTATGTATATCATTAGTTATCTTTCTATTTTTGGAAGAGCTATCGTTCTGAATGGCCAATTCATCAATTTAATTTTGGCTGCTTTAATGTTCCTTATACTGTTTTTGACCATCTTCAATTACCTATAAATTGTGTTCTATTTATTTTCTCGTTTTTTTCCTCATCGTTTTCGGGCATAAGAATGAGAATATGAATCATAAAACACAACTCCTAAATGATCGAAGACATCCGAACAAGCAATGGGAGCATGAAATTAGAAACAAGGAAGTTGCTGATCAGCAGTTCAGAAATGGTAGTTCTTTGCGAGACTAACGGGGCCATAAATTATCACGAAAATAGAATCTTTAAATTAATGGAGGAATTTTAAGAAGGTACCATGACCTCGTAATGTTATTGGGTCGTATATAATCGTAAATTCCATCTCACAAAGCATTGAAACCAAGGGACCGCGGTCTGGATTAACTAAAAACTTTACAACTCCACTAAGAACTTTATACAGCCCTGGTTTTAGAGCCATACTTTGGAGGTGGCTTCACAATTAAACTACAGCCCTCACCACCTCGCCATTGCCTCCTTCCTTCTGCCAAAATTCCAGCTGTCGCAAATCCCACATCTGACCTCCAAAGACAACTCTTTCTGCCTGTAGGGTTGAAATTAGCATTGTAGAGGGTGGGAAATATCTATATTTTATTGGAGCTGATTATACGAATGCTACTGCTGATGCTGGATTATTACAGCAGAAACCATCATCAGCCATAGTCTTTGCACTGCTGGATGAACGCCTCCCCAATCAGCCACCATCTCCCTTGTACCAGCGATGTTATAATTCACAGAGTACCTGCACGTGAGCTGATTTCACCACACCCATATTCTGTGCTACGTCCTCTGGGGCATACGTGTAACTGAAACCATTTTATTTTATTTATGATGCTTGTTATTCGTGCGATTGACAGAGCGTGACGCACACGCGACACTAAACGTGAGAATGTACTGAATAATCACTCACCGAATACAAGGGGAAACCGCCAAACATAAGTGTCCGGCTCCAACTCTTTCCTCTGTGGGCTCCACTACCAGCTGCACCAGCAGCAAACGCATCAGCAATAGCAGCATCAGCAGTAGCATCCGTATAATCAGCATCAAATCCACAGCAAAAAATATTATCAGCAGCAGCAATACAGTCATCAGCATTGGCTGGACCCCACCTCATCCTCCTCCTGTTCATTCTCTAACACCACATCCAATATATTTTACTACCTCCTCCACAACCGCTAATACATTCTCTCACCTCCACCTCCTCTACGACCGACTTCGCCCCTTCCTCATACATCACCAGCAGCTCCTCCACCATCAAGAGCAGCAAGACCTCACCACCACTTCGGTTGCCACGAACCACGACGTGATGGCCACCACCACCACCTCAATGCCCTCGCAGCTCAGCGTGTGGGGCCGTGCGGTCACACATCCAACTCTGGTGCCGCTCGTGATGGCGCTGGGAGCGGTGCTACCGACGGTGGCGGCGCAGCTGCTGTTCACAAGCGTCACGGAATGTCCCTGCATGTACAGCGTCGTGTTCACCACGGTGGCACTCACGGGGCCCACGCTGCCCTTCTCGTTCTGGTCCTCGGCTCTGCTGCGACGCCTATGCCGCACTCAGAACAGGAACGAAAAGGTGACGAGGCTGGGTGTCTGTGTGGAGGTGCTTTAGACGAGGGGCTAGGGCTGGGTAGAGATGCTGTAGTCAGGGGCTAGGGCTGGGTGGAGGTGCTGTAGTCAGGGACTAGGGCTGGGTGGAGGTGTTGTAGTCAGGGGCTAGGGCTGGGTGGAGGTGCTGTAGTCAGGGACTAGGGCTGGGTGGAGGTGTTGTAGTCAGGGACTAGGGCTGGGTGGAGGTGCTGTAGTCAGGGGCTAGGGCTGGGTGGAGGTGCTGTAGTCAGGGGCTAGGGCTGGGTGGAGGTGCTGTAGTCAGGGGCTAGGGCTGGGTGGAGGTGCTGTAGTCAGGGGCTAGGGCTGGGTGGAGGTGCTGTAGTCAGGGGCTAGGGCTGGGTGGAGGTGCTGTAGTCAGGGACTAGGGCTGGGTGGAGGTGTTGTAGTCAGGGACTAGGGCTGGGTGGAAGTGCTGTAGTCAGGGACTAGGGCTGGGTGGAGGTGCTGTAGTCAGGGGCTAGGGCTGGGTGGAGGTGTTGTAGTCAGGGACTAGGGCTGGGTGGAAGTGCTGTAGTCAGGGACTAGGGCTGGGTGGAGGTGCTGTAGTCAGGGGCTAGGGCTGGGTGGAGGTGCTGTAGTCAGGGACTAGGGCTGGGTGGAGGTGCTGTAGTCAGGGGCTAGGGCTGGGTGGAGGTGCTGTAGTCAGGGGCTAGGGCTGGGTGGAGGTGCTGTAGTCAGGGGCTAGGGCTGGGTGGAGGTGCTGTAGTCAGGGGCTAGGGCTGGGTGGAGGTGCTGTAGTCAGGGGCTAGGGCTGGGTGGAGGTGCTGTAGTCAGGGACTAGGGCTGGGTGGAGGTGCTGTAGTCAGGGGCTAGGGCTGGGTGGAGGTGCTGTAGTCAGGGGCTAGGGCTGGGTGGAGGTGCTGTAGTCAAGGGACTAGGGCTGGGTGGAGGTGCTGTAGTCAAGGACTAGGGCTGGGTGGAGGTGCTGTAGTCAGGGGCTAGGGCTGGGTGGAGGTGCTGTAGTCAAGGACTAGGGCTGGGTGGAGGTGCTGTAGTCAAGGACTAGGGCTGGGTGGAGGTGCTGTAGTCAAGGACTAGGGCTGGGTGGAGGTGCTGTAGTCAGGGGCTAGGGCTGGGTGGAGGTGCTGTAGTCAAGGACTAGGGCTGGGTGGAGGTGCTGTAGTCAAGGACTAGGGCTGGGTGGAGGTGCTGTAGTCAAGGGCTAGGGCTGGGTGGAGGTGCTGTAGTCAGGGACTAGGGCTGGGTGGAGGTGCTGTAGTCAGGGGCTAGGGCTGGGTGGAGGTGCTGTAGTCAAGGACTAGGGCTGGGTGGAAGTGCTGTAGTCAGGGGCTAGGGCTGGGTGGAGGTGCTGTAGTCAAGGACTAGGGCTGGGTGGAGGTGCTGTAGTCAAGGGAACGCTAATTGGGTGACTGTTGTGCTGAAGGTGGCGAGTATGAGGGGAGTCTCCCTCTTGACGGCCGCCAGCCTCACGTGGACTGTGACGGCGCTGTTCAACCAGGAGATCCTGTGCTGCATGATGACTTCTGGCGGCATTAGCAATGAACGTTGCATGACGACGCCCGATCCCGTGATCATAGAGTACTGCACATCCGTCTCCACGGTGAGTTTCCTCTCCCAGTTTTTTCTCGATAAGCTTCAAGATCGATGATCCAGCACTGACACATTCGATCCATTCACTCGCTCGCGCAACGTTGTTCAGTAGCCTCCTTATCACTCTTCCGTTGCTATTATCTTGCTTACTGTTCCTGTGATCACGTGAATATAAATGCGTCGTTAAACCCGGCACCACCCGACACAGCCAATTAGTAAGGTTTGTCACGTAAACAGAACGTGTCAATTTGTTACGAGTGTAGTGACTTATAGCCAGTCCCTCCAGAAAAACGCGGAGTTTTTTGGTGATTGTTGCGGGCAAAAATCGTTGATTATGCGGCACGTTTTCTTAAAAAATGCGATGGAATATGCGGGATATTTATGCAATTTTATGCGATAAAATTGCGGGAACTTGCAAAAACTGCGGTTTGATGAAAAAGAGAAAAAAAAGTGATTCCCCCAACACCCTATTCACTAGGCTACTACTTTAATGTAAAGAGTCATTTCTTATTACTTCCTATGATAAGCAAGCATACTACATCACAGAAAGTGCTGGGAATATTTAAGTTCTCATCTTGTTTTATTTCAGACCTTAACAAACAGATGGCTCAAACTTACAAAACATTGAGTCGAACAAGTTCTGTAGCTTTACAAAATGAATATGCTACAACTTCTGTAAGAATGAATAAATAAAATATTAAAAAATAAAATGTGTGCTTCCTGTTTTACAGAGGTAGCTATACAAAACAGACATCTTCTGTTAAAATAAGTGTTTTCAGTGCACAGTAACGTAAGCAATACAGTAACAGTACAGTCTTACAGTAATGTAAATTTACATACTACTAACAATAAAGTGCAATCTTACAACTGTAAAGTTGCATAAACTCCTGAATAAAACTAACTACGTAGCCTTTAACACTGGCCAATCATTTACCATCCTCATCCTCCATCCCCTCTCCCTCAGTGTCCATCTCCTCCCCCTCCACCATCTCATCCCTCTCAAATGCGACTTTTTGCAACGAAAATGCGGGGATTTTGAAATCATGCAAGCCCGCATATTTTGCGCGCGGAAATCTGCCAAAGTCCGCATAAATATGCGGACTTTGGCTGATTTTGCGTGGAATCTTGCGATCGCATAATCGCGTTTTTCTGGAGGGACTGTATAGCGTGTGGGCTGACACACACATACGCGTGACGTCACTACGCGGGGCAGCGTCACGACCACGCGGGTCCACACAACAACAACTGCCATTCGCCACTAAGTGGCGGTGACGTCACCACGACGCTTGTGCCTAGGCCATGTGCACCTTGAGGCCACGTGAAGTGTCGAACGCCCGTTGGCAGGAGGTCACGGGGCAGACCCAGGTGCCACGGGTCGACTGAGTGAGATGACTGGCTGATGCACCCACCTGTGCCCCCTACTGTGCCAACTTGCTGTGTTTTATCCACCCGGCGCTCCGCTCGTTGTTGTGAGCGTCGCTCCTCCGCCCTCCGTTGTTGTTGGAGGGCGACTGCCTCCAACTGCCCAGTAGCGTCCTTCACGAGCCTCCTCCACAGAGGCCGATTTTGACACCGCTGGTACCAGTCATCGGCAACTCCACTCAGCTCCACGTCCTCCTGTACCACATCACTCCATCTCTTCTCTAGCCCGTGCCGCGCCCGTTTAGCCCTCTTTATCCGGCCGAACAAAAGCTGTTTAGGCATGCGGTGGCTGGGCATGTGGGCTACATGACCCAGCCAAACGCAGCCTTGCCCGCCAGAGGAGCTCACCGATGAGACTTTGCCCAGATCTTTCAAGGATTTGTGAGCGCCTCACATAATCCAGCCTGGTTAAACCCAGGATGGATCGTAGGCAGGCCAGCCTAACTGTTTCTAACCGGCGAAGATGCTACATTAGGGGGGTCCACGTTTCGCAAGCGTAGAGAAGGGAGGGAATGACCGTGGCCAAGAAGACCACATACACACACACACACACACATGACGTCATCACGTCGGGATGTGAGAATGACGTTATGGCCGGTTCGGGGGTCTGGAGGCTGTGGGTCAGTACCGTGGGGGTTGTGTGAGGCCCGTCACTCTGGATGAACCCGGCTGGACACGTGACCGGATCAAGGTGGGGGCCGGGGGCCCCGGGGGCACCTTCGGGGCCACGTGGACAGAGGAAGAGCCTTCTCGAGAGTTCTCGAAGGTGGGCGTGGCCTTGGTGTGACCCGGACACGCCGAGGCGCATATAAGTGGCCTCCGCACTGGGTTCGGGGCTGCTCGAGTCCGGGATGAAGATGCCTCATGAAGACGCCTCGTGAAGAAGAAGAGTTTAAGCCTCAAGTCAGCGTGGCCAGCCAGCTTGGCCACGCTATCCGTATCAGTGTCAGTGTTAGCGAGTGACAGTTTGTGTTAGCGAGGATAGGTCGGTGGTCACCACACTATGTTAAGAGTTACCCGTTGTGTTGACAATAAACAGTGTTGCCTCCCAAGTTCAGTGTGTGCGCCTCTATCGAACCATTACACTAGTACAGCACACCGGTGTGTTGAAGAGTAAATCCACAACATTTACAATTTGAGTCCTACGTTTCGCCAGTCATTACAACTAGCATAATTAGGTCACAGCCAGGCCTGACCTACACTACATCTTTACTCTATTGACCTGGTCAAGGCCTTTGGTACCATCAATAGGCCAGGGCTCTGGGCTATTTTTCGTGCTTTTGAGGTCGCCGACTCTCTGCTCACAATCATTCAGGAACTTCATCATGGTGGGCAGGTCAGGGTAAAGCTGCATAGCATGGAGTCGGTGTCATTTCCTGTTCACCTTATGGCGCCATATGGATGTCCTCTGGCCCCTACACAATTTAACATTTTGACCACTTAGTTCGAGAAGCTTTCCATTGGTGTGTAGTAAGAATTTCCATCTGGTACAATATAATGGGAGGCTAATATTGAATGCTGATATCATAAATGCTGTTCACTCTAAGGAGTTGGAGTCTCTGTTGCTGAACCTGTAGCGTGCCACTTAGAGTTGGGGCCTTGCCATCAGCCCTACCACAACAAATTATCTGTCTGGGAATATTGTGCCATCAGACACTGCTTGCCTGTAAATCCCCATGAGTAAAGGAGCATTCTAGATTTGAAGTTTTCGTGACTGCAAAGGTCCATACTCTTTGGTTTATTCGGTAAAGTTACGTAGGTAAAAAAGAAAATAGAAATAAATTAAATCACGACGTTTCGGAGGCAACACAAGCTTCCGTCTTCAGGTGGAACCGTCACAGCAAAATGACTGTATCAAGTAAAGAGAGCTCTAAGAGACACGAGACTATATATACAGGTTAAGTCGGGGGGGGGGGGCAGGATGGGCCGTGTGGGGGGGGGGGGTTAAGCCGCCTTTTGTTGTGCTGCCTTATAATTGTACAGCTATTTCCATTTCTTCCAGCTGTTTTCTATTCCCTGCTTGATTAGCCCAATTTTTTACCAAGTTTAACCTAAGTTAACCTAAGTTTTAACCTAAGTTTAACCTAAGTTAAACTTTAGCAGCCTTATAGTTTACTGCAGTACACTGCAAGGAAACCAGTTTGTCAGCTTAAATACTGCCTCCTGTTTATGTCTCCCCTTTTTCAACCAATTACCATCGCCTACACACGGCGCTCACTCCCTCCCCTAACCCCCTGCAGCATAACAAAAGGCGGCTTAACTTAACCCCCCCCCTTCACCTGTATATAGTCTCGTGTCTCTAAGAGCTCTCTTCACTTGATACGGTAATTTAGCTGTGACAGTTCCGCCTGAAGACGGAAGCTTGTGTTGCCTCCGAAACGTCGTGATTTAATTTATTTTTATTTTCTTGTCACCTACGTGACTTTACCGAAAAAACCAAAGAGTATAGTAATGGAGCAGTTGTGGAGATAGTGGGGGCGTTCCCATACCGGACTGTGTACGTGTAATGACAGTAAAGTCAGCCTGCAGTACGAATGGACTAGTGGTCACGGGAGGGAATGACAGGGGAGTAAGCCTACAGTGCGAATGGATTAGTGGCCACCAGAGGTAATGACAGGGGAGTCAGCTTGCAGTACGAATGGACTGGTGGCTACGGGAATGATCGAGAATATGAGCGTGGCCAGGTGACGGAAGAGGACGGTGGAGTCTGCTGGTACAGTGAGCTTCTAGAACCAGCGAGAAGGTTCGGGAATGAGGGTGTGGCCTCGGACCATGTATAAGGGAGATGCGCGGGAGACTTGAGGCTGTTGCAGTCGGGTCTCTGCCTGTTCGAGTGTGAGCACGTGATGCCTTAATAAAATAACCATCTCAAGATAAGTGCGTCCAAGTCGTCATTACATACGTATGACCATCTCCTGTTTGGTAGCAGAGGTTTCACTTCGAATCGGTCGAGCTGCATCATACTGCGTGGAAGCTACCTATTATATCGTTTAATATGAAGATCAACCATGGTCATGCGATCCCTTCTCTATACTTGTAAACCATGGACCCCTTTATGATCAAACCTAGATTTAACCGGACTGAATTGTGTCAGCAGCTCACAGATCCTTGAAACATCTGGACATAGTAAATTGCTCCATCAAGGTGAGGCTGCATTGGCTGGGTCATAGAGCCCAGCCATCGCATGCTCAAGCAGCTTCTGTTTGGTGGGATAGAGGGGAGTGAACGGGCACAGCGACATCGCTGGATGACATCGCTGGATGTCGCTGTATGCGTGGCCAACCTGGCCACGACACGCCACACATTGCTGTCATCACGGACAACACCGAAGGTGGATCCAGAACTGGCCTTAGCGGAGTTCGATGAGCACGGACTGCCAGCCACCAGTGGCACCCTGCGCTGGGTGCAATGCCAGCCCTGGAGGATAGGGTGCAAGGGGGGTGCCGGTTTCGGGAACAGGGTTCCACGGGGCCACGGCACTCTGGTTGAACCCGGAGGACACGTGACTGGGAGCGTCTACCCGAGGACCCCCAAAAGGAGGGCTGGGGGGACCACGTTTCCAGTAGGGACTCTTCTCGATAGTTCGGGGGCGGAGCGAGCCCCGCCACGGGGGATAAAAGCGAGTCTGTCAGTGGGATCTGCTGCTGTTGTTGTCTTCATGAAGAAGGCTACATTCTACGCCGGAAGAGGAGTCTCCAACCCATCGACCTGGACCCGAGTTGGGGTCCGGTCTGTTGTAGCTAGCGCAGAGTGTTAGAGTAGCTAGCCTGGTGGACCACCAACATAGGTTATCTGGTAAAGGGGCAGTTACCCCTTTGTGTTAGTAGTGTGGTGTAAAGTTAATAAAAGGGTTGCCTCCAATAGAAAGCCTGAGTCTCCATCTGTACCCACTACACATGCTATAAAATAAATTGTCTGATGTGGTATCGCAGCACGTGGAGCTGATTGGGCTTGCTGATGATTGGGACCAATTGTACCAAGATTGGCCTCGAAGTATTTGGTGCGGTGTGGAAACATCAAGACTGGGGAGACAAAGGCGGCCAGGCGTAGTGCTGACCACCCACACCCTCGTGTACCGTGCTGGCCTTCATAGATGCACACCAACAGCACTTACCCCAACAGTTTGTTAAGGCTATACGGTGGATCGTTATCTTTGTAGATATGGTGAGCAGTAGTGCAGCAATTAGCGCTGCACTGTGAACCGGGTGACTAGTTCGAATATCAGAACCGGTCCTGGTCCTCCCCTAGGTCGACTCAACCTAAAATGAGTATCTGTCCCGGTGTGTAAACACTACCACTTGAGAGACAAAGGCAGTCGGATGTGGTGCTGGCCACCCTCGTGCGCCGTGCTGACCTTCATCGGTGTTTACTAACAAATGTTCCCCAGCAGCCTGTGTGGACTTCACCAGGGATATTTTTGTGTGTCTGTGTGGTTACAGATCTCTGGAGCAGTAATCATGGTGATTTCCATAATTATCGTTTACGTCCTCCTCCTGGCCTCCGGCTGCTTCAAGGACAAGAACGTCCAGGACCAGGATGGGACCTCTAACATGATTGCCTACAACATGATGTCAATGCCCGGGCCTACAGAAAGGCCCCACCACACATCCAATCTTCCTTCCAGCGAACACTTTTGAAGGCCCTGCACAAACAGCAGAATGTGGGCCAAACGCTGCCCACGAGATCGTTATTTCGTAGAATCACTCAGGAGTCAATTCACTAAGTCAGTTCTCCCAACGTTGTGATTATACTTAGCATTTTAATTGTGTTTAGTGATTTGTTGTACTTGCAATGCAAATAAATATTTAACATTTTCTTGGTTCTTTCGGTAAAGTCACATAGATAGAAAATAAAAATTAAATAAAAAATATACAAATTTACATTTTAAATAAAAATACATTTAAAATAATAAAAGCAAAAAACCCACGACGTTTCCATCGCAACACAAGCTGTCTTCATCAGGCGGAGAGAAAAGAGGGGGAAAGCCTCCAAACGCAACTGCTTATGAGGGTTTCCAAATTGAGTGGGCGGGCAACGAGAGCTGGGAGGAGTAAGGGGTGCACGGCGCAAACAGCATGGGTGGGGCATCCAGTCAGCCAGTGACAATGTAGGAGTAGACAATGGGGGTATTGGGAGGAGGGATGTGTGACGTAGGTCAACCAGTGCTAATGTAGGAGTAGGCCTCGGCAAGGTAAGGTAAAAGTTAAAAGGTAAAAACAACGAGCCTACCTTTACCCTACCTTTTACCCTTACCCCATACGAATTACCCGATTACAGGGTAATTACTAAGGAACTACACATGAACAAGGTTTATAACGGTAATGCTAGGTAGAGCGCTTTAATCATAGAATACTCTCGATGATTCCAATTCTACACGCTTGTTGTTATTGTTGTCATTGTTGTTGTCATTGTTGTCGTTGTTGTTGTTGTCGTTGTATCCTCAAATCTTGTAACTCAATTTTTACCCACTTCCTAATGTGGTATCGACTGCAAACTTGGTATACTTATGTCATACTGATGACAATACTATATTCTATCATAAAAAAATATATATATTTTTCAACATGTTTTACATGTTATGTTTCGGCTTGGGTCTAATTGTTCACGCTCAACCGACGTTAGCTATAATTGGCCACGGCCCCTTACGTTGTGGCAAGTTTTGGGCCACTTCCTGGAGTCGTGGAGTTCTGCCATTACTCGTACATTTAATAAAAGCGTGTTTTTTAAAAAGTTTTTTGTTTAATATTACTTATTAAATGGAGGCCACGGACTGCGCCACGGAGCTTTTAGCGGTAAACAAGGCACCGTATTTACCGGGTAATACTTCGCGCTACCTTTACCCTACCGGGTAATTCTTTCGAGCTACCTTTACCCTACCGGGTAATTCTTTCGAGCTACCTTTACCCTACCGGGTAATTCTTTCGAGCTACCTTTACCCTACCGGGTAATTCTTTCGAGCTACCTTTACCCTACCGGGTAATTCTTTCGAGCTACCTTTACCCTACCGGGTAATTCTTCGAGCTACCTTTACCCTACCGGGTAATTCTTTCGAGCTACCTTTACCCTACCGGGTAATTCTTTCGAGCTACCTTTACCCTACCGGGTAATTCTTTCGAGCTACCTTTACCCTACCGGGTAATTCTTTCGAGCTACCTTTACCCTACCGGGTAATTCTTCCGAGCTACCTTTACCCTACCGGGTAATTCTTCCGAGCTACCTTTACCCTACCGGGTAATTCTTCCGAGCTACCTTTACCCTACCGGGTAATTCTTCCGAGCTACCTTTACCCTACCGGGTAATTCTTCCGAGCTACCTTTACCCTACCGGGTAATTCTTCCGAGCTACCTTTACCCTACCGGGTAATTCTTCCGAGCTACCTTTACCCTACCGGGTAATTCTTCCGAGCTACCTTTACCCTACCCTTTACCTTACCCCTTGGCATGTCGACACCTTTACCCTTTACCATTTTCCCCGGTAAAAAGAGTAAATTACCTTACCTTGCCGAGGCCTATGTAGGAGTAGACAATGTGTAGTCAGAATATCCATTCGCCTTGAAAGCCTGGTGTACGTGTTTGAGTTCACTCGTCAGGTGTTCATGGTCGGAGATACATTGAGTTGATAATTGGTTCTTTACCCTTCTATCTGGCAACAAAACTGACACCTTTTTACAAGGGGTCATGTTTGCATAGACCGCAATACCTGCAGTCATAATACAAACAAAAGAACATAACTCTGATAATGTGCACTGTCCTTGAAGTTGATTGGTCCACACCCGAGACAGCTTTCCTTAGAGCCTAGTCTCATATGGGTTGGACCAGATGACGCCAAAAGGCGCACAACTCAAGGACAATGCACCATCAGAGTATGAGAGCTCGGGGCAAGCATCTACACTATGGGAAACTCATTTGCCAGTAAAAATATGATAATTGGTTCTTTACCCTTCTATCTGGCAACAAAACTGACACCTTTTTACAAGGGGTCATGTTTGCATAGACCGCAATACCTGCAGTCATAATACAAACAAAAGAACATAACTCTGATAATGTGCACTGTCCTTGAAGTTGATTGGTCCACACCTGAGACAGCTTTCCTTAGATCCTAGTCTCATATGGGTTGGACCAGACGACGCCAAAAGGCGCACAACTCAAGGACAATGCACCATCAGAGTATGAGAGCTCGGGGCAAGCATCTACACTATGGGAAACTCATTTGCCAGTAAAAATATGATAATTGGTTCTTTACCCTTCTATCTGGCAACAAAACTGACACCTTTTTACAAGGGGTCATGTTTGCATAGACCGCAATACCTGCAGTCATAATACAAACAAAAGAACATAACTCTGATAATGTGCACTGTCCTTGAAGTTGATTGGTCCACACCCGAGACAGCTTTCCTTAGAGCCTAGTCTCATATGGGTTGGACCAGATGACGCCAAAAGGCGCACAACTCAAGGACAATGCACCATCAGAGTATGAGAGCTCGGGGCAAGCATCTACACTATGGGAAACTCATTTGCCAGTAAAAATATGATAATTGGTTCTTTACCCTTCTATCTGGCAACAAAACTGACACCTTTTTACAAGGGGTCATGTTTGCATAGACCGCAATACCTGCAGTCATAATACAAACAAAAGAACATAACTCTGATAATGTGCACTGTCCTTGAAGTTGATTGGTCCACACCCGAGACAGCTTTCCTTAGAGCCTAGTCTCATATGGGTTGGACCAGATGACGCCAAAAGGCGCACAACTCAAGGACAATGCACCATCAGAGTATGAGAGCTCGGGGCAAGCATCTACACTATGGGAAACTCATTTGCCAGTAAAAATATGATAATTGGTTCTTTACCCTTCTATCTGGCAACAAAACTGACACCTTTTTACAAGGGGTCATGTTTGCATAGACCGCAATACCTGCAGTCATAATACAAACAAAAGAACATAACTCTGATAATGTGCACTGTCCTTGAAGTTGATTGGTCCACACCCGAGACAGCTTTCCTTAGAGCCTAGTCTCATATGGGTTGGACCAGATGACGCCAAAAGACGCACAACTCAAGGACAATGCACCATCAGAGTATGAGAGCTCGGGGCAAGCATCTACACTATGGGAAACTCATTTGCCAGTAAAAATATGATAATTGGTTCTTTACCCTTCTATCTGGCAACAAAACTGACACCTTTTTACAAGGGGTCATGTTTGCATAGACCGCAATACCTGCAGTCATAATACAAACAAAAGAACATAACTCTGATAATGTGCACTGTCCTTGAAGTTGATTGGTCCACACCCGAGACAGCTTTCCTTAGAGCCTAGTCTCATATGGGTTGGACCAGATGACGCCAAAAGGCGCACAACTCAAGGACAATGCACCATCAGAGTATGAGAGCTCGGGGCAAGCATCTACACTATGGGAAACTCATTTGCCAGTAAAAATATGATAATTGGTTCTTTACCCTTCTATCTGGCAACAAAACTGACACCTTTTTACAAGGGGTCATGTTTGCATAGACTGCAATACCTGCAGTCATAATACAAACAAAAGAACATAACTCTGATAATGTGCACTGTCCTTGAAGTTGATTGGTCCACACCCGAGACAGCTTTCCTTAGAGCCTAGTCTCATATGGGTTGGACCAGATGACGCCAAAAGGCGCACAACTCAAGGACAATGCACCATCAGAGTATGAGAGCTCGGGGCAAGCATCTACACTATGGGAAACTCATTTGCCAGTAAAAATATGATAATTGGTTCTTTACCCTTCTATCTGGCAACAAAACTGACACCTTTTTACAAGGGGTCATGTTTGCATAGACCGCAATACCTGCAGTCATAATACAAACAAAAGAACATAACTCTGATAATGTGCACTGTCCTTGAAGTTGATTGGTCCACACCCGAGACAGCTTTCCTTAGAGCCTAGTCTCATATGGGTTGGACCAGATGACGCCAAAAGGCGCACAACTCAAGGACAATGCACCATCAGAGTATGAGAGCTCGGGGCAAGCATCTACACTATGGGAAACTCATTTGCCAGTAAAAATATGATAATTGGTTCTTTACCCTTCTATCTGGCAACAAAACTGACACCTTTTTACAAGGGGTCATGTTTGCATAGACCGCAATACCTGCAGTCATAATACAAACAAAAGAACATAACTCTGATAATGTGCACTGTCCTTGAAGTTGATTGGTCCACACCCGAGACAGCTTTCCTTAGAGCCTAGTCTCATATGGGTTGGACCAGATGACGCCAAAAGGCGCACAACTCAAGGACAATGCACCCTCAGAGTATGAGAGCTCGGGGCAAGCATCTACACTATGGGAAACTCATTTGCCAGTAAAAATATGATAATTGGTTCTTTACCCTTCTATCTGGCAACAAAACTGACACCTTTTTACAAGGGGTCATGTTTGCATAGACCGCAATACCTGCAGTCATAATACAAACAAAAGAACATAACTCTGATAATGTGCACTGTCCTTGAAGTTGATTGGTCCACACCCGAGACAGCTTTCCTTAGAGCCTAGTCTCATATGGGTTGGACCAGATGACGCCAAAAGGCGCACAACTCAAGGACAATGCACCATCAGAGTATGAGAGCTCGGGGCAAGCATCTACACTATGGGAAACTCATTTGCCAGTAAAAATATGATAATTGGTTCTTTACCCGTCTATCTGGCAACAAAACTGACACCTTTTTACAAGGGGTCATGTTTGCATAGACCGCAATACCTGCAGTCATAATACAAACAAAAGAACATAACTCTGATAATGTGCACTGTCCTTGAAGTTGATTGGTCCACACCCGAGACAGCTTTCCTTAGAGCCTAGTCTCATATGGGTTGGACCAGATGACGCCAAAAGGCGCACAACTCAAGGACAATGCACCATCAGAGTATGAGAGCTCGGGGCAAGCATCTACACTATGGGAAACTCATTTGCCAGTAAAAATATGATAATTGGTTCTTTACCCTTCTATCTGGCAACAAAACTGACACCTTTTTACAAGGGGTCATGTTTGCATAGACCGCAATACCTGCAGTCATAATACAAACAAAAGAACATAACTCTGATAATGTGCACTGTCCTTGAAGTTGATTGGTCCACACCCGAGACAGCTTTCCTTAGAGCCTAGTCTCATATGGGTTGGACCAGATGACGCCAAAAGGCGCACAACTCAAGGACAATGCACCATCAGAGTATGAGAGCTCGGGGCAAGCATCTACACTATGGGAAACTCATTTGCCAGTAAAAATATGATAATTGGTTCTTTACCCTTCTATCTGGCAACAAAACTGACACCTTTTTACAAGGGGTCATGTTTGCATAGACTGCAATACCTGCAGTCATAATACAAACAAAAGAACATAACTCTGATAATGTGCACTGTCCTTGAAGTTGATTGGTCCACACCCGAGACAGCTTTCCTTAGAGCCTAGTCTCATATGGGTTGGACCAGATGACGCCAAAAGACGCACAACTCAAGGACAATGCACCATCAGAGTATGAGAGCTCGGGGCAAGCATCTACACTATGGGAAACTCATTTGCCAGTAAAAATATGATAATTGGTTCTTTACCCTTCTATCTGGCAACAAAACTGACACCTTTTTACAAGGGGTCATGTTTGCATAGACCGCAATACCTGCAGTCATAATACAAACAAAAGAACATAACTCTGATAATGTGCACTGTCCTTGAAGTTGATTGGTCCACACCCGAGACAGCTTTCCTTAGAGCCTAGTCTCATATGGGTTGGACCAGATGACGCCAAAAGGCGCACAACTCAAGGACAATGCACCATCAGAGTATGAGAGCTCGGGGCAAGCATCTACACTATGGGAAACTCATTTGCCAGTAAAAATATGATAATTGGTTCTTTACCCTTCTATCTGGCAACAAAACTGACACCTTTTTACAAGGGGTCATGTTTGCATAGACCGCAATACCTGCAGTCATAATACAAACAAAAGAACATAACTCTGATAATGTGCACTGTCCTTGCACATTATCAGAGTTATGTTCTTTTGTTTGTATTATGACTGCAGGTATTGCGGTCTATGCAAACATGACCCCTTGTAAAAAGGTGTCAGTTTTGTTGCCAGATAGAAGGGTAAAGAACCAATTATCATATTTTTACTGGCAAATGAGTTTCCCATAGTGTAGATGCTTGCCCCGAGCTCTCATACTCTGATGGTGCATTGTCCTTGAGTTGTGCGCCTTTTGGCGTCATCTGGTCCAACCCATATGAGACTAGGCTCTAAGGAAAGCTGTCTCGGGTGTGGACCAATCAACTTCAAGGACAGTGCACATTATCAGAGTTATGTTCTTTTGTTTGTATTATGACTGCAGGTATTGCGGTCTATGCAAACATGACCCCTTGTAAAAAGGTGTCAGTTTTGTTGCCAGATAGAAGGGTAAAGAACCAATTATCATATTTTTACTGGCAAATGAGTTTCCCATAGTGTAGATGCTTGCCCCGAGCTCTCATACTCTGATGGTGCATTGTCCTTGAGTTGTGCGCCTTTTGGCGTCATCTGGTCCAACCCATATGAGACTAGGCTCTAAGGAAAGCTGTCTCGGGTGTGGACCAATCAACTTCAAGGACAGTGCACATTATCAGAGTTATGTTCTTTTGTTTGTATTATGACTGCAGGTATTGCGGTCTATGCAAACATGACCCCTTGTAAAAAGGTGTCAGTTTTGTTGCCAGATAGAAGGGTAAAGAACCAATTATCATATTTTTACTGGCAAATGAGTTTCCCATAGTGTAGATGCTTGCCCCGAGCTCTCATACTCTGATGGTGCATTGTCCTTGAGTTGTGCGCCTTTTGGCGTCATCTGGTCCAACCCATATGAGACTAGGCTCTAAGGAAAGCTGTCTCGGGTGTGGACCAATCAACTTCAAGGACAGTGCACATTATCAGAGTTATGTTCTTTTGTTTGTATTATGACTGCAGGTATTGCGGTCTATGCAAACATGACCCCTTGTAAAAAGGTGTCAGTTTTGTTGCCAGATAGAAGGGTAAAGAACCAATTATCATATTTTTACTGGCAAATGAGTTTCCCATAGTGTAGATGCTTGCCCCGAGCTCTCATACTCTGATGGTGCATTGTCCTTGAGTTGTGCGCCTTTTGGCGTCATCTGGTCCAACCCATATGAGACTAGGCTCTAAGGAAAGCTGTCTCGGGTGTGGACCAATCAACTTCAAGGACAGTGCACATTATCAGAGTTATGTTCTTTTGTTTGTATTATGACTGCAGGTATTGCGGTCTATGCAAACATGACCCCTTGTAAAAAGGTGTCAGTTTTGTTGCCAGATAGAAGGGTAAAGAACCAATTATCATATTTTTACTGGCAAATGAGTTTCCCATAGTGTAGATGCTTGCCCCGAGCTCTCATACTCTGAGGGTGCATTGTCCTTGAGTTGTGCGCCTTTTGGCGTCATCTGGTCCAACCCATATGAGACTAGGCTCTAAGGAAAGCTGTCTCGGGTGTGGACCAATCAACTTCAAGGACAGTGCACATTATCAGAGTTATGTTCTTTTGTTTGTATTATGACTGCAGGTATTGCGGTCTATGCAAACATGACCCCTTGTAAAAAGGTGTCAGTTTTGTTGCCAGATAGAAGGGTAAAGAACCAATTATCATATTTTGACTGGCAAATGAGTTTCCCATAGTATACATTGAGTTGTGTGGTGTAGCGTTTTGATGAGGCAGACATGCCAGACATAGCAGGGGTCACCAAAAAGATTTCCAAAATCATGAGCAAACACAAGATCCAGGTTCGATTTAACACAGTACATAAAATTCGTGATCCCATTAATGAAGGATGTGATCCCTGACATGCAGTACCCCGGTGTCTACAAACTAAGCTGTGTCTGCGGCAGTAGTTACATTGGAGAAACCAAGCGACATGTCTCGGACCGTGTTCATGAACATAAGGCCGATCTGAAACACGGTAGAACCAATACATTGGCCGTGGCTGATCATTGTTTCAATACGGTGGGCTCACACGAAATGTATTTCTCCAAGACGAAGGTACTTTGCAAACCTACTGGCTATCAACAAAGACTCGTTCATGAAGCCATCCAGATAGACACAGACACAATTTCAACCGAGAAGATGGGTACAAACTGAGCAATCATTGGAAGGACGTTATTAACCAGTTTAAATCATAACTGGCTGTGATGTTTTCACGCCGTTGTCTTGGACGCCGCTCTCAGACCTTACATTAACATGCTCATCTCTCACATTAACATAGCCACTTTCGCGCCCTTGTTGTGGAGGTCACCCTCTGATCTTACATGAACATGCTAATTTATCACATTACCATCACTAGCCCCATCCCACTTCTTTTATGACCCTTGGGCTACACCCATTCTAAACCTTTAAAACAGTCTGCCTCAGCAGCTTTCCTCTTTTCTCCTCCTGATGACAATGTTGTTGTGATCGAAATGTCGGAGTATTTTTGTTATTTTATTTCAACCTATCTACGTGACTTTACCAAAAGACCCAAAGAATATGAATTCCTGCAGTCACGAAAGTCAAGATATGAGCCAAGAATGTCTGTGTGCAACGCTCGTGACGTTACTCCACGTCGACCAACCCCCCTCATTAATAATCATGAACAGGTTACGTCCTCCAAATGGACACCCCCCTCAATAATAATTAGCGGGTGACGTCACTCCACATGCGGGGCCGAGGCGCTTCCTCCCCCCTCCTCGGCGTCAACTTACAACCCTCACTACAAAGGCAGAACCCTCACATTACGCGATCTCCGTAATGCTATTGAGACATCAAAGTAAAAAGGACGTCGTGATGAAAAAGGGATTATAACCTTAAAATGAAATAGGTCTGTGTCACCGGGCCCTTACACATTGCACACGCATTCATGCAATGAATATCACGTCGCAGTCTGCTTTTCGCTTGCAAGTTTCAGATTTACTGCAATACACCCGTCCTTGGACGGGCAAAAGGCAAGTTTGTGATCAAATGAGTAAGCAGACAACATGCTCATGTGATGTGTAAAACGTGTTTTATGTGTATATCAGGGATCAATAAGTGCGAGGCGTGCGTTATTTGCCGTGACTTTCTCTACAATGCTATCATTTTTGTAAAAAAAAACATTTGCGTCGAGCTAGTACCCATTTATCGAGGGGACATTGCCTATAAACATGTCAGTTCACCAGTAGGGTCACGGCAAGCCAGACAGCTGGCAAGACACTGAATATCGAACCTCGTCCAGAGTTTTGCTTGTGCTGAACCAATGCAACTTTAGTTATATGCTTTCCAGAATGCCGTATGGTTGACGAGTGGAGGGACAGATGTGCGAGATTTGTCTGCAGCTTATTTCAATAAAATGTTCGTGGCAAATGATGCCCTGGACACCCATCCAGGAGAAATATTTTACTTTGAAAATACGCAACCCTGGGCAATAGCCAGTGCAATACACGGGTGCCTACCTTATTACGGACCAATTCAGACCTTATTGGTCACCCCATGCCCTCATAAATCTCAACGTTCATCCGACAAAGTCCCATCACAAGGGAGAAACTAAAACAAACAATTTTAGCCCGTATTTAAACGGCTGTACACCGTATGAACCTGAAAACTCCTGTAGAAGAATACAGGTAAACCTTATAGGTATGCGGGTGAGAGTTTACGATCTCACTCGGACTCCATACTTACTTTGACCTGCGATGTGTTTTTATAATGTGAGGATATATCCGGGTCGCTAACGGATCACAACTCGTTACGATGATTGGCTCTGCCGGTCCTGGCCCATAGCCAATGGGGGGGAAGCCTAGGGGCGTGGCCCTGACGTAATGGGAAGGTGACATCTGTAAGTAGAGGATTGGTTTTGCCGGCTTTAGCCACAGCCAATGGGGAGACCTGTCAGGGGCATGGTCTGTCAGGGGCATGGTCTCGGGAGCCTACGATGGAGTCTGGAAGATTCCATAGAGGTTAACCAGGATTGGTGGAAAGGTACCACGTGACCCGGTATAAAATAGGGGTGGAGACGAACAACACGTGGTCAGAACTGGAACGGAGAGGCCACGCGGGAGCGGGGGTCCAGGCTGCCACGTCGTACGCCAATCGTAGCTTGCCAGACATACAAATCGCCACGAGGGTTTCTCGTACTGGCCGACGGCCGACGAAAACAGGATTCGAGGAAATGACGGGAGTCTGTCACTTGGCGCGTTAAATAGCGTTTTTATTCAATCTCATCGGACATACAGCACGAAGAATTTACCTTGAGAAAAAAAGAGATCACATTTATCAAAGCTCCGTAATGAAAAAGCATGATTCTTATTACGTCATCATCTTTATTACTGTATCATATTGTTACGATTAAAACTACATTTGACTACCGCGGCCATGCACGTGCGCTCCCGCGTGTCTCATTGACCAACCCAGACCAGGTCAGGACCACATCGGCCCAGTCCGACCTAGCCTACACAAATGACCCTCGCAACATTAAGGACGTGGTGGGAACCTGCTGCAATAACCGTGGAGAAACACACTGCTGCCACCAAATCATGATTGATTTGAGAACCCAAGGTGCGTGGGTAATGGGTCGATACTATTGATGTTACTAAGGCGAAGAGGATGGCTCTCGGGTGCCTTTTTGGGGTTGTACCGTGTTATGTGGAACACTTGAATTGTTCCTGAAGAAGCTTCCAGCACATGGAGGAAAGCATCGGACATTGTGCCGAACAACACATGGTACAACCCGAAAACATATCAGAGAAATATCTTTAATTTACTCAGGAAAGCCTCGCCGAGTCTCGTTTTTCAAGAAGGTCCTGCATTTTGTGACGTTTGGCAAATTAATTTTAAAGCAGTTTTTATTTTTCGATTTTTAATTTGTTTTATTTTTATTATTTTATCATTTCCCTTCTACGTAACTTTACCGAAAGAACCAAGAAGATGAAAGCAGTTTTTCTTCATGTGGAATGAAGCTTGAGAACACGGACAAAACCCACCGCATGCACACGAGGCGGTAACACTTAAAAGGTCCGCACAGACGGATTCAAACACTCACTTGCTGTCCTGCCACCTCTAGTATCATCACCTCCTTGCGGACCAGCAAATTTGGGAGTTTCACAATCTCTTTGCGATCCACCACCCCTCCCCGCTAAAGATCCGGATCACAGGCGTACACGTGCAATTGTGATATTAACGGGCACGCCGTGATGGATGGTGCATGGCAAAAATGAGAGGTGGTTGGGTGCTTCAAATGTCAAGAGCACTGCACCGGCCCTGCTGTGATCCTTGGTTCCAATCCGTGATTCAGCCACTGCCTGTGATCAAACCGGGTTCTCAAGTGTGAGCGAATTGATGGTCTCAGGGCAGTCACCAATGACTGAACAAATAAACCGTCAAGATAAATTTGTTTCTGTGATAAATTTGGTTAGAATACCAGCTCCATGAATTGTAAAATATCAGTTTGCCTGCCATGCGACGAACCTCACTCCCACATTCATAACGAGTGGAGGGGTCGCTGCCCTCCACTGTATAGGTTAGAGGTCACGTGATGTGATCTCAGAGGTAGCTCCGTGGTATCCGCTTTTACGGATTGTTCATCTCACATGAAGCGTAGCACTCCTCTGCAAAACATCTGAATGGCTTATTTACAATTCTGTTACAAGTTGGAGAAATGTATTTAAAAATGGCTGCGATAAAGCTTTGGACCAATTACATAACCATACTTATAAGGAACCGCTGCACCAAATATCACGAGTTGCCGGCACTCACTTTTAGGAGGAGCTCGCTTCATGGTTTTGGCATAAATCCCTCCCCCTTCCCTTGCCTTTTCAAATTCCTTACTTGATTTAAGATCTCCTGTTTCTTCCACGTGTGGTAAGCAAACCCCGTGAGAGTCGTTCCTATATTTCTGTGTTACCTGCTGCCATTGTTACTTAAATGGTGCACGACTTGAATGTTGTTTTCCTCGAATGTGTTTCCTACTTAGTGTCTGCAATGCATTAATTTATTTACTATAACTTCATGTCAATGAGATCCTGCACGGGTGATTGTCGTTAAATAGCTTAAAGATGAATATTTCCTACCCGCATCAACAAATAAAATCAATCGACGGTCTGCAGCAGTGTCCTTGACAACAAGTAGCAGTGTTTGGCATCACCCAGCATGCTCTGCGTCCTCCTGCGCGAGGTCACCGGCAGGGTCACGAGGTTAGGGACACGGGTGTTACAGTGGCACCGCCCATTGTCCACAAACATCCTAATTCAAGGTTTGCGTTAGGCGAGCATCGATGGGTTCACGAGGTCATGGGCGCCATACTGATAGGATAGAGAGCACCGGCGCAGGCTCAAGCGTTTCATCGCGAGCTCCCCGCCACGCCGACTTACGGCCACACGACGTCTCCGCCCCACCCACCCGCCCAGCTCTGATATGTCGTTATCGCCATCATCGTAGTCGTTGTTAATGCTGGGGCCATTGCTGCTGTAGATATGATTTGCGGAAATGGGGTTGGGGGGCCGGGGGGCATGCGTGCATGCGTGCATGCGTGTGCGAGTGTGCGTGTTACATATTCATTCTGTGTACACCTGTGTGTGCACTTAATAGCTTTTTTTCCTCGCCTCCCAAGCCCACAAGAGACAAAAAAAAAGCCAAGACAAAAAATGAAGACGTTGAGATTTGTATCGAACATCGAAATTATTTTCTACCTCATTTACTACACCCATCACGACTGAAATGCTACGAGGAGTACAGTGATCAACACCGGCAGTGCTAAACACGTCAGCGGTTTTTATTTTAGTCTTAGGTCTGGTCAACGGCAATCTGTGGAGTTTCAATCGAGCCTCAGTCTGCGGATTTCACCGAGTCGTCCTCTGCATGTGATCAACAAAGCAGTCAAAAATGTAGTCCACTGGTTTATGGGCCTCTTGAGTGAGTCTATGGACTATTTGGACTCATACTCACACAAGCGACCCATAGACTTACGCAGAGACCCAGAGACCCACATGGAGTTTCATAAAGTCTTCAGAGTCCGTGAGTTTCATTTAGTCGTCCTATTGGTTGAGTGACTAAAGCAGTCACACATTTGGTCACACGCTCCGAATTGTTCAATGTCCGAGTGAGGGGCGCGCGATTCCTACCCCCTCACTACTGTCAGCTCGGGCAATCAGTGAACTCGGTAAATCTTTGTTTACAGCAAATTAGCATCTCTTGGTCTTCCTCAGTGGACTGCCGTCTCTAATAGCTCCACTAAATTATCTCGGTCTGCGTCTTCGCTCAGGCTCGCTAATTCCGTCGCGTCGCGCGTTCCGCTCGCTGGCTGGGGCGACATTCGCAGTCACCGTCGACTAAAATGAAAGACGCCGATTTCGTTTCCGAGATTACCACTGCCCGGCTGCCGGGCTACGTACGGTGGGCACGGGGAGGGGATGAGAGCTTGGTCAGGTGGTGCTCATCCTCCCAGCGCCCCGCCAGCTGGCCCGGCCAGGGGCTAGTACCTAAACACACGCACGCACACGCATACACATGCATGGACGCGCACATACGCACGCACGCACACCAGCAGCCTGGTGTTAGCAATCATCATCCATTAGCAGCAGCAGCAATGATCTACTGGATGAAGGCCTCCCATATCTGTCATCCCCACCTCGCCGTCACGCAAGGCCACGGGGGCGGCCAACCAAAAGCCAAAAGGGGCAAAAGCCGCAAGGAGCATTTGAATAATTCAAGGGTTTGCACAGTTTTCTAGACAAGAACCATTTGTGAATGTGGTATGCGTGCCCTTCATACAGCGCAAGGCTGTCACAAAAAGGCAGGGTACAGTGTGCCAGTAGTGGGCGATGATGCCGTGTGGTCTGACCTAAGTAATTAGGTTAAGGAGTAATACTTTGCCAATTCAGCAAATTTGATCCGTGACGCTGGAATGCAACGTTCTTCTCATTTTGAACGTCACCGGATCTCCAACGTCCACGGCAAGCAAACCGAACGGCGGCGCACATTAATTTACGACTAACATGCACGCACACCGCAGTATTGACCAGGCCAGCCTTTCGGATTGGAACCGAGAAGCTCTGCAACAAGGGGCACTGCTGCTGGGCCGCGTCACCGCCCCAAAAAGGAATCAGCGCGACGGAGTGCGTCCATGGAGAGTAGCGCGCGCGCACACACACACACGAGCAACAACAGCAGCAGCAACGACGAGGAAGACCAGTGGCAGGGTCATTGGCAGGCAACTCGTCGCTACTCAGTAGTGGTGGCAGGAAGCCTGGCACTCGGATTAGACCGCCTTACACCGCCGCGACAAATCACTTACACTCGCACACGGGCCTCCTGGCTTAGCCCCGTGGTCCCGGATCAGACTCGACTGACTGGAATGCGGCTGTGGGTGACTTGGCACGCCGACTTGGCACTGGGTTGGTTATGCGCGTCACACAGACGACATGTGACTGCGTGGTTGCCCTAACCACAGCCGCCCTCAGTCGCTGCCCAACTCTTAACGCTTCCTGTAACTGATGAGGGACCCAAAGTGAAACCCGGGTGTGTGTGTGTTTGTATATGTATATGGAGAGTGTTGGCGAGGGGCTGAGTGCACTGCTCTACGAACTTGGTAACCCACATTCGACTGACATCTGTGACGAATACTTTCACCGGTCCGGGCCCTTCTCTAGGTCGACTCAGCTTAAAATGATTAACTGGTGCCGTGTATAAACATCAGGACTGGAGTGGCAAAGATGACCGGGCGTGATGCTGACCACACCACCCCCTCGTGCGCCATGTTGGCCTTCATTGATGCTCGCTAACAGCACTTGACCAACAGCCTGTTTGAGGCTACACGGGGGACCCATGTGTAATTATAATGCGTTTATATAGCAGCTGCACAATCTGCAAAACACAAAGTTGTATAAAGATGTTTTCAGCCGATTATGGTGTTTTACACGTGACTAGAAACCTAGAGAAACCCCACACGTGCGAGGGAGCAGCATTAGATACCGTAAAGCTGGAACAGATGGGGATTGGTCCCCACTTTGCTGTACAGCATTCTCCTGGCAAGCCAGGGTATAGCTCCTCGTTAACGCTCACAGGAACGGAGTTTGGCGACATCAATGAGATCCACAAACCCTCGCTGTATGCATGTTGAACTTCTTTCGCACTCACCATTGGAACCTCATTTGCCAGTAAAAAATATGATAATTGTTTTTTAGCCTTCTATCTGGCAACAAAACTGACACCTTTTTTACAAGGAGTCATGTTTGCATAGACCAGAATACCTGCAGTCCTAATGCAAACAAAAAACATAACTCTGATAATGTATGCACTGTCCTTGAAGTTGATTGCGCCTTTTGGCGTCATCTGGTCCAACCCATGTGAGACTAGGCTCTAAGGAAAGCTGTCTCGGGTGTGGACCAATCAACTTCAAGAACAGTGCATACATTATCAGAGTTGTGTTTTTTTTTGCATTATGACTGCAGGTATTGTGATCTATGCAAACATGACTCCTTGTAAAAAGGTGTCAGTTTTGTTGCCAGATAGAAGGGTAAAAAACCAATTATCATATTCTTTCGCACTGTTCCTAGCCAACGTTGCTAATTGGAGGTGCGATTAGCACATGTGGAGGCTGCTGTCTCCGAAGCACTGGATTGCAGGCGGCCACGTGCAGCAGCGTGGCTATCACCACCGCCGCCTCCTGGCTGACTGTATGGGTGTGAGTGGCACGTGCCTGTAGTAGTTGGGCTTGAAGGGTCCGTTCTTGTTGATGCCCAGGTACTTGGCCTGCTCGTCCGTCAGCTCTGTCAGGTGCGCGTCGAACGTCGGCAGGTGCAGACTCGCTACGTACTCATCTGTGCACAAAGACAAAGATCCCCCATGTAGCCTCAACGAAACCATTGGGGCAACCGCTGTTCGTGAGTAGCGCCTATGAAGGTCGGCACGGCACACGAGGGTGTCGGTGGCCGGCACCATGCCCAGCTGCCTTTGTTTCCCCAGTAGTGATGTTTACACATCGCACCAGGTACTCATTTGAAGCTGAGCCAATCTAGGCGAGGCCCAGGACTGGTTTTGATAATTGTCTGGTGTCGGCCATGAGCGGGAATCGAACTTGGGTCTCCCGGCACCAGATTCATAGTGCAGCACACTAACTGCTGTGCCACCGCTCATCTGTGTACACACATACGCGCATGCAATAATTTGAAATGCATGGAGATGCACGCATCTATTTACACACACGACTGTACAGTGACACACATGCGACATGTGTACAGCTGAGCAAGTAGGATCGTGTGCATCCATGCACGCATCCATTTACACACACGACTGTACAGTGACACACATGCGACATGTGTGCAGCTGGGCAAGTAGGATCGTGTGTAAATAAGTGGGTGAGATCAGGTTAATGTACGAGCAGGTGAGGGTGAGCAGTTTCGCAAGTGAGCCAATGAGTGGGCGAGCGAGAAACTGGGCGGGTAAGCAGGCGGGTGGGGAAGCAGTTCGGCAAGTGACCAAGTGACAGGTGAGCGAGTTGGTGAGCAGTTGAGTGACCGGCTGAGCAAGTAAGCGAGTGGAAGCAAGCGGACGTCGCTGGCGCACATTACCCATTTTCTTGGGCAGCAGGTAGACGTCCTGCTTGTAGCGTCCCTCCGGGGCGTTGTACAGCTCAATCAGTGCCAGCGCCTGCCGGGGTGGTGACAGCAGTGAAGGGGTGGGAGAAGCAGGGGGGGGTCGGTGTGGAGAAAAAGAAGGATTTAGCACGGGTTGAGAGGTCACCGTTCAACAGCCGACTCAAGTCTATCGCCGGAGTTAATGTACAAGGCCGCGGAATTGACCTATGATCTGATGGTCAGGAGGAGAGGGTCAATAATGCTCCTGCTGTTGTGGAGTGACTCATGCAGCCAGCTATGGCTGAAGGGTTTGGTGGTACATGTTGTTCATGTCGTTTATTGTGAAAATTCGGTCACAGTTCCTATGATCACTGTTACATTGCTTTTATGGCTTTAATTTGGTGATTTCGAAAAGTTTTTTGGTTTGGGCATGTTTGTTTGTTGTAGTACGGAGTTAGACTGATGGCCTTAATCTAAGTTGTCTTGTGGTTGTTGTTGTTGTTTCTCTTGCATCCCACTGGGATTTTTGCACACAGCGTTGGTGTACGGTGCTTTTTCTGCAATATTTTGCTGTCTTTTCCTGGATTTTCTGTTTGCATTCAGTCACATAGTCACTTTAAGATGTTTTCTTGTTCATGTTTAAATTTTTTGTTGCGGTTGCACCCGATTCAAGAGCCGAATGGCTCACAGGGCTAAACCTAATAAATTAAACTGAATGGCACGTTAACGGACATTGAAAGCGTACCTGCGTGGTGGCGGTGATGGACAACACGAAGGACGGGACGCTGGAGCAGCTGAGATTAAGCAGGCGACCCTGAGAGCGACAGGAATACGTTACCCAGCATCCCCCACACCACCCAGCATCCTCCACACAACAAACACAGTCGAGCAAGTGCCTGTGCATGTGGTACGGCGTGGCATGGTGCGATTGCTGTGTGTGGCTGTATGGTTTGATGTTGTGGTGTGGCTGGTGGTGTTGGTCGGTTCTCGGTGTGTATGCGAGTGTGTGTGGTGACAGCGGTGTTCCTGTGCGGTGCCCGAGTGCAGTGTCTGATGATCACAACGACAAGAAGACCGCCGGGCAGCTGAAGTGCAGCAAGTTGGCACGGTGGGGGGAGCACACAGTTGGTGCACCTGCGAGCCATCTCAGTCAGTCAATCCATGGCACCTGAGTGTCCCGTGACCTCCTGCCAGCAGCGGGCCTTCCGACAATTCACGCGATGGCCTCAAAGTGCACCGAGCCTGGCACAAGCGCAGTAGTGAGGTCACCGCCACTTAGCGGGGAACGGTGGTTGCTACGTTTAGTGACGCACCTCGGCCAGCAGCAGGATGCGCTTCCCGTCGGGCCAGATGATGTGGTCGACCTGCGAGCGCACCCGCTCCCACGTGAGGTCCGGCGTGCGCAGACTCGCCTGGGGGGGTGGGGCGGGAGGAGACGGGGGGGGAGGGGACACACGATGATTCAACACACACCAGCAAGCGTGAACAAGAGAGTGTGACCGAGCGAGTGAACGAACGAGCGAGTGAGCAACCAAGTGTGCTCACCACGTCGATCTCCGTGTTGGAGTGGCCCATGTTGCACACGATGCAGCCGTTCTTCAGCCGGTCCAGGTGTTCGCGTGTCACCACGTTCTTGTTCCCTGCGGCGCCGGCGATGTTAACAATCACTCACATAGCCCCCACCCCCCTGTGCCCCGATGCCCCCCCACCTGCCCCCGGCCCCCCACCCAAGTGCTGTGGTGACATCACCCCCACTTCATAGAGAATGCGATTGTAAATGTTGTAGGTGACTGTGTGAGCAATTGTGGGCGAGTGTGAGCGAGTGTGTACGAGCGTGTGTGGGCAAGTGTACGACAGTCTGAGCGAGCGAGCGTGAGCGAGCGTAGGAGAGAGCGCGTTACCCGTGCAGGTGATGACGATGTCCACCTGTCGGATCACCTCACTCAGCTTCACCACCCGGAAGCCGTCCATGCTGCAAGAGAGGGACGGCACGTGGTGAGTGCGTGTGTGCGTGTGCGCCTGTGTGCCGGTGTGTGTACGCGCGAATATTTGAGTGAAAAAAATAGTTTCCGAGTGTGCAGGTGTGTAAGCGAGTGTGTGCAAGCGAGTGTGTCAGCGACTGTGTCAGCGACTGCGTGTCAGTGAGTGCGAGCCAGTGTGCGAGTGTGTAAATGCACCAGGCTTGGAGGGCGCAAATCGGGTCGACCTCGGTGACATAGACCACGGCGCCCATGCCCTTCAGGGCGGCGCAGCACCCTTTACCCACCTACACAAAGACAACAAAAACAAAGATCCCACCCCCCCGTATAGCCTTAACAGACTGTTGGGGCAAGTGCTGTTAGCGAGCACCTAAGAAGGCTGGCACGGCACATGAGGGGGTGGGTGGCCACCACCACGCCTGACCGCCTTTGTCTCCCCACTGCTGATGTTTACGCAACAAACCGGGTACTCATTTAATGTCGAGTCGACCTAGGAGAGGCCCAGGACCGGTTCGGATATTCGCCACTCGTGTTGACCGTGGGCACGAATCAAACTTGGGTCACACAGGTTCATAGCCCAGTGCCAAGCATTACCATATTGCTCCCCCATACACATGCACACACATGCACACACGCAACAAAGCGACATGCAAATGTGAAAACAAACACGCACGCACTGAGAAACCTACACACACGCCGAGTGTCCAAATCAAACCCAAGTGATTCCTGCTCAAATGAGCATTGATGCAGTGCTTTTCTTCTGTTCGCAGCCATGAGCCAATGGTGGAAATTCCTCATTCCTATGGCAGGGGCGAGTCTACCCAAAAGGCCAACCCATTGTTGACCTCTCCACAAAGTGCTCGTTTTATCAACCCCGGGAAGGATGATGAGTCAACCCCTAAGCAGAAATCAGATTTCTAAACGATAATAAAAACTCATCGTATACAGAGCCACTTGGCGGCCTATGTACATTATGCAAAACGTTGAGAATTTCCTTAAGAACTGCACCGTGCTCTTGTCTTACCCAGGATGTAACCTCGCAAACCTCTCGACCGTAAGCCACTCGCCTGGCTCTTGCGCTGATCCGCCGCCTCTCTGGATGGATAAAGCATTCTCGTTTCGTTTTGTTTCTTAGGAGATTATTTCCCAGGATTCTTTGGGAGGCCACCGAGTGGGGCTCAGAGGTCAGAGATGCTATGTCGGCACCGCGGAGAACGAAAGTTCCATCTGCGTTTCAGCCACAGCCTGGGTTTGAACCGGGTTCTAAAGTGTAGTGAGTTGACGGCCTCAACCAGGTCATCACGACACCACATTCATTTCAGCTTTGAGAATTAAAATATCAGTTTAAGAGTCATGATATGAACATGGCTATCTGTGGTAGGGCAGATGGAGAAATAGTGCCCCTTGCTATATGGGCCAGAGGTCAATTGAAGGACTCTCAGAGGTAGCTCTGTGATATCCGCTTCCATGGGCCATTCTCTAATACAGGGGTCGGGAACCTTTTTGACTGGGAGAGCCATAAAAGCCAAATATTTCTAAATATATTTCATTGAGAGCCATATAGTAATTTTTAACGTATAATAAATTAAATATGTCTTACTTTTAATGCGACTTCTGGTGCTGCGTGGTTTTGCTGATGGCCTTGTAGTCTGGTTCATACGTTGGTGACGTTGAGCTTCGTGCAGGCGTGACCCGTGAAATTTATCTTCAAAACTAATTTCTGTTTACTTTAAAACGACACGGTAGTATTAAACAATATCACAAGTATTTTAAAATCAGTTCCAAACTGATTTTTTTTTCAACTCAAAATTGTCTGGGAGCCATATGCCGTCACTGGAAGAGCCATATATGGCTCGCGAGCCACAGGTTCCCGACCGCTGCTCTAATACAAAGGGCTGTGCTTGTTGCGCAATTTGGTGATTCGTCTCACAAGGTGACACGCGACTCCGCTCACCTCCCCGTAGCCACACACCACCACCTGCTTTCCTCCAAACATGATGTCCGTCGTTCTCTTGAGCCTGGGGGCAACAAGGGCACACGGAGCTCACAGCTCACACTGTGGGTATGACGGGCGAGTCTGTGGGTCTCTCTGTGAGTCTGTGGGTCTCTCTATGAGTCTGTGAGTTACTCTGTGAGTCTGTGAGTCTGTGGGTTTCTCTGCGAGTCCCTGTGTGAGTCTGTGTGTCTCTGTATGAGTCTGTGGGTCTCTCTGTGAGTCTGTAGGTCTCTCTGTGAGTCTGTGGGTTTCTCTGCGAGTCCCTCTGTGAGTCTGTGGGTCTCTCTGTGAGTCTGTGAGTCTCTCTGTGAGTCTGTGAGTCTCTCTGCGAGTCCCTGTGTGAGTCTGTGTGTCTCTGTGTGAGTATGTGTCTCTGTGTGAGTCTGTGTGTCTCTCTGTGAGTCTGTGGGTTTCTCTGCGAGTCTGTGGGTCTCTCTGCGAGTCCCTGTGTGAGTCTGTGTGTCTCTGTGTGAGTATATGTGTCTCTGTGTGAGTCTGTGTGTCTCTGTGTGAGTCTGTGGGTCTCTCTGTGAGTCTGTGGGTCTCTCTGCGAGTCCCTGTGTGAGTCTGTGTGTCTCTGTGTGAGTCTGTGGGTCTCTCTGTGAGTCTATGGGTCTTTGTGCAAACCTGTGAGTCTTTGTGTGAGTCTATGGGTCGTATTCTATTATTTATTTTATTTTATTTCTACGTGACTTTACTGAAAGAACCAAAAAGTAATTCCTACAGTCACGAACGCTTCAAATCAAGATTGAACCACCTCTACGGGGAGGATTTCCACACAACTCACACTTAACTTCAAATTGATCAATCTTTGGAAGAACGTAATCAACCAGGTAAAGTATTAACTGCTGTGTTAGCCGACTCTCTGTGTTGCATTGCATTACATTTCTAAGTTAACTAGGTTTGTTTTCTCATTCATTCATTCATACTTGATGACGGTTGCTTGTGTTGCAATCGAAACGTCATATTCAATTATTTATTTTATTTCTACGTGACTTTACCAAAAGAACCAAGGGGTAGAGTCTACAGGTGTTCATGTGTAACCCTGTGCATCTCCGCGAGTCTTAAGTGTTCATCGGTGCATGTGGTGCTAGGCAGGTGCGCTTGGGCCTACCCGTCCAGGATGGACTCGCGGCAGCTGTAGAGGTTGTCAAACTTCTGCTTGGTCACCGAGTCGTTGACGTTCATGGCCGGAACGCACAGCTTCCCGCCCTTGGAAAGCTGGTACAGCCTGCGCACGCACAGCCGCGCACACACACACACGCGTAGGTGTGTGGGCGTGCGTGGGTGTGTGGGCGTGCATGGGCGTGCGTGGGCGTGCGAGGCGTACCGGTGCACGCCCGTGACGCTCTCCTCCACGATGCCCTTCACCTTCTTGAACGTGTCCGGGTACTTCTTGTACATCCAGTGCGTGAGATCCCCCCCATCATCCAGGATCTGGGGGAATGGGCGCACGAGGGGTCGGGGAAGGCATCAACCACGATGTCAGAGCAAGTAATTTCCAGTGTGAGTGAAAATATGCAACAGTGTGCATATGTGTAGGAGAGAGATCATGTGAGTGTGCTAATGACAGGGTGACACCTGCTGGCCGGAAAGGGAATCACGGGTATGGGCACGGTTAAGTACCAACCAATCAGAGAATGAGGTGTATCTGGGGCCAAGGTAACAGTTGGGGTTAGCCGAGATACTTCGAGAACCTGCTCGAAGGTTCCACGAGAGGGCGTGGCTGGAGGCGGGGCCTAGCCACGCCTGGGGGGATACAAGGGCGAGCGGACCCGGGGCTCGGGGCTCGTGTGCGGGGTCTTGGGTCCCGGATGCGTCGTTGCTCGCCGTCATCTCTCTCCGTCGTCCGGCCACGTGGAAGATCTCCTGCGTGGTTTCCATCGCCGTCATCGTCACGCCGCCAGCCAGCGGCGTAGCCGAGTGAGGGCGATGGGACCACACCGAGTGATCGGCTGTGTGTGTAGCCAGTAGAGGTGTTAATACCTAGAGTTATACTCAGTGTGAGGAAGAACAAGTGTTGGGCTGTGTTGTGCCCAGTGTGAATCATAAAGAAGAAGTACCCTCTACACGACGTGTCGTGGAAGTCGCTCATTACAAGTGTGTAGTAGTGACATCGGGGATGTCACTGGATGGTACCGGCCTGAAAGGGTCGTGCCATTCGATGTTTCTCCATCATGGACTGCACCGTGTGGGTGGCTGTGTGTAACACCAGCCCTAGCGGGGACAGCACCGTGTGGGTGGCTGTGTGTGACACAGCCCTAGTGTGGACAGCACCGTGTGGGTGGCTGTGTGTGACACAGCCCTAGTGTGGACAACACCGTGTGGGTGGCTGTGTGTGACACAGCCCTAGTGTGGACAACACCGTGTGGGTGGCTGTGTGTGACACAGCCCTAGTGTGGACAGCACCGTGTGGGTGGCTGTGTGTGACACAGCCCTAGTGTGGACAGCACCGTGTGGGTGGCTGTGTGTGACACAGCCCTAGTGTGGACAACACCGTGTGGGTGGCTGTGTGTGACACCAGCCCTAGTGTGGACAGCACCGTGTGGGTGGCTGTGTGTGACACAGCCCTAGTGTGGACAGCACCGTGTGGGTGGCTGTGTGTGACACAGCCCTAGTGTGGACAACACCGTGTGGGTGGCTGTGTGTGACACCAGCCCTAGTGTGGACAGCACCGTGTGGGTGGCTGTGTGTGACACAGCCCTAGTGTGGACAGCACCGTGTGGGTGGCTGTGTGTGACACAGCCCTAGTGTGGACAACACCGTGTGGGTGGCTGTGTGTGACACCAGCCCTAGTGTGGACAGCACCGTGTGGGTGGCTGTGTGTGACACAGCCCTAGTGTGGACAGCACCGTGTGGGTGGCTGTGTGTGACACAGCCCTAGTGTGGACAACACCGTGTGGGTGGCTGTGTGTAACACCAGCCCTAGTGTGGACAGCACCGTGTGGGTGGCTGTGTGTGACACAGCCCTAGTGTGGACAACACCGTGTGGGTGGCTGTGTGTGACACCAGCCCTAGCGTGGACAGCACCGTGTGGGTGGCTGTGTGTAACACCAGCCCTAGCGTGGACAGCACCGTGTGGGTGGCTGTGTGTGACACCAGCCCTAGCGTGGACAGCACCGTGTGGGTGGCTGTGTGTGACACCATCCCTAGCGTGGACAGCACCGTGTGGGTGGCTGTGTGTAACACCAGCCCTAGCGTGGACAGCACCGTGTGGGTGGCTGTGTGTGACACCAGCCCTAGCGTGGACAGCACCGTGTGGGTGGCTGTGTGTAACACCAGCCCTAGCGTGGACAGCACCGTGTGGGTGGCTGTGTGTGACACCAGCCCTAGCGTGGACAGCACCGTGTGGGTGGCTGTGTGTGACACCAGCCCTAGTGTGGACAGCACTGTGTGGGTGGCTGTGTGTGACACAGCCCTAGCGTGGACAGCACCGTGTGGGTGGCTGTGTGTGACACCAGCCCTAGTGTGGACAGCACCGTGTGGGTGGCTGTGTGTGACACAGCCCTAGAGGGGACAACAACGTGTGTGTGGCTGTGTGTGACACAGCCCTAGTGTGGACAGCACCGTGTGGGTGGCTGTGTGTAACACCAGCCCTAGCGGGGCTTGGTGAGCACTGGGAGAGTGCGGGCACCACGCACAACGTGTGGTGGGGGCTCCCCCGAGGGGGAGGGGGTGAGTGTCAGCCCAGGGGCAGGGTTGCCCCGGGCCATGGCACTCTGGTTGACCCCGTAGACACGTGATCCGGAATGTCCACACAGGAGGCCCCAGGTGGGGGGGGGGGGGCTAGTGGGTGATCACGTGTCCGGAGAGAGCTCTTGAGGAGGATCGAGAGGGAACGAGAATGTTCGGGAAGGCGGGCGGGGCCGAGGGCAGAGCGGCCCCCACCGGAGAAGGATATAAGGCGGGTCCCTGAGAGGGACCAGGGTCGCTGCATTCTACAAACTCGAAGCTCAACACCTACAAGCGGGAAGCTCTACGTCTCAAGCTGAAGCTCTCCGTCCTACCACGGGGTCGGAGACCTGAGTGAGAGATCGACCCTTCGGAGCAGTAACTCACTGTAGTCTGGTAAAGGGGCCGTTACACCTTTGTGTTACGGTGTTACGGTGTTACAAGTAAAAGTGTTGCCTCTAAAAGGAACGACGTCTGCGACTCAGTTGGACCCACTACAAGTGTTTCAGAAGTGAGTGTGTGTATGAGCGAGCGAGTGAGTGTATGAGCGAGTGAGTGTGTGAGCAAGTGAGTGTGTGAGCAAGTGAGTGTGTGAGCAAGTGAGTGTGTGAATGAGCGAGTGAGTGATTTAGTGGGTTAGTGAGTGTATGAGCGAGTGAGTGTATGAGCGAGTGAGTGTGTGAGCGAGTGAGTGTGTGAGCAAGTGAGTGCGTGAGCGAGTGAGTGTGTGAATGATCGAGTGAGTGATTTAGTGGGTGAGTGAGTGTGTGTATGAGCGAGCGAGCTAGTGCGTGAGCGAGTGAGTGTATGAGCGAGTGAGTGTGTGAGCAAGTTAGTGTGTGAATGATCGAGTGAGTGATTTAGTGGGTGAGTGAGTGTGTGTATGAGCGAGCGAGCTAGTGTGTGAGCAAGTGAGTGCGTGAGCAAGTGAGTGTGTGAGCAAGTGAGTGTGTGAATGATCGAGTGAGTGATTTAGTGGGTGAGTGAGTGTGTGTATGAGCGAGCGAGCTAGTGCGTGAGCGAGTGAGTGTATGAGCGAGTGAGTGTGTGAGCAAGTGAGTGTGTGAATAAGCGAGTGAGTGATTTAGTGGGTGAGTGTGTATGAGCGAGCGAGCGAGTGCATGAGCGAGTGAGTGTATGAGTAAGTGAGTGTGTCAGCATGTGAGCGTGTGTGAATGAGCGAGTGAGTGATTTAGTGAGTGAGTGTATGAGCAAGTGAGTGTGTGAGCAAGTGAGTGTGTGAATAAGCGAGTGAGTGATCTAGTGGGTGAGTGTGTGTATGAGCGAGCGAGCTAGTGCGTGAGCGAGTGAGTGTATGAGTGAGTGAGTGTGTCAGCAAGTGAGCGTGTGTGAATAAGCGAGTGATCTAGTGGGTGAGTGAGTGTGTGAGCGTGCACGGCACCATGTTGGGTTGCCAGCCCTCGCGGGTGAGGCAGCGGTTGATGCACCACCAGAAGTCGTCCTCAGACTCACCCTTCCATGCAAACACCGGGAACCCTGCGCTCACATAGCACACAGGAACAGAAAGATCCCCCGTATAACCTTAACGGACTGTTGGGCCAAGTAATATTAGCGAACACCTATGAAGGTCGGCACGGCACACAAGGGGGTAGGTGGCCAGCACCACGCCGGGCCCCCTTTGTCTTCCTAGCGGTAATGTTTACACACCACACCAGGTACTCATTTGAGGCTGAGTTGACCTAGGGGAAGCCTAGGACCAGTTCAAAGAATCGTCACTGGTGTTGGCCGTGAGTGGGAATTGAACACAGATTGCCGGGTTCATAGCGCAGCGTGCTAACCGCTACACTATCACTCCCCACACACAGCACAAACAGCGCCGTTGTGTAGCGCACACGCCATTTATTAATTAATGTTATTATGATTCCGATTGTTTACCCAGGAAGGCTACACTGAGTCTAGGACATCCTGCAAAGCTGTCGCAGTAGGGGGGGCGACATTGATGCTGCCGTATGCGATCCCGATGGAGTGATTTGCTGGGTAATTTATTTCGCAATGGTATGTTTAGCTAATACTAGTTACAGCTAGAAGGAGAGTTAATGTTTCGCTCGTGCAGCGGGAGAGAGTTGCAGATGACGGGAGCAGTCGCGCAGCCACAGTGTGCGGCGCGAGAAGTGTGAGTGATGTGCGAGTGTGCACAGTGACCGCTCTGTGAGTGTGTGTACCGAATAAGTGGGCGTGCGTGCGATCGTGTGACTGTGTAAACAAGCCCACCGCCCCCAACTATAACTACCCCCCCCCACCACCCTCATTCTACTCCCCCACCCCCACACTCACCGGCCTCTGCAAGCGCTGCGGCCACCTCGTTCTGCGTGGAGTAGATGTTGCACGCGGCCCAGCGGCACTGAGCCCCCAACGCCGTCAGAGTCTCGATCAGCACCTGCACACGGGGACGCAGGGACAAGGTGACGACACGGGGTCACGGGACGCACACACACAGAGTAACGGGGACACGGAGAGCCGCGTACGTGGAGACATGGGGTTACAGGGGACGCGGAGACGTGAGCGACACGGCGTCATGGGACCGTGGAGACGCGAGTGACGTGGGGACACAGGGTCGTGGGAAAGTGGAGACACGGGACGTGGAGACACGGGGACGTGGAGACACGGGGACGTGGAGACACGGGGACGTGGAGACACGGGGACGTGGAGACACGGGGACGTGGAGACACGGGACGTGGAGACACGGGGACGTGGAGACACGGGGACGTGGAGACACGGGGACGTGGAGAGACGGGGACGTGGAGACACGGGGACGTGGAGACACGGGGACGTGGAGACACGGGGACGTGGAGACACGGGGACGTGGAGACACGGGGACGTGGAGACACGGGGACGTGGAGACACGGGGACGTGGAGAGACGGGGACGTGGAGACACGGGGACGTGGAGACACGGGACGTGGGACACGGGGACGTGGAGACACGGGACGTGGAGAGACGGGACGTGAGACACGGGGACGTGGAGACACGGGGACGTGAGAGACGGGGTGGAGAACGGGGACGTGGAGAGACGGGCGTGGAGACACGGGGACGTGGAGACCGGGGACGTGGAGACACGGGGACGTGGAGACGACGGGGACGTGGAGACACGGGGACGTGGAGACACGGGGACGTGGAGACACGGGGACGTGGAGACACGGGGACGTGGAGACACGGGGACGTGGAGACACGGGGACGTGGAGACACGGGGACGTGGAGAGACGGGGACGTGGAGACACGGGGACGTGGAGACACGGGGACGTGGAGACACGGGACGTGGAGACACGGGGACGTGAGAGACCGGGGACGTGGAGACACGGGGACGTGGAGACACGGGGACGTGGAGACACGGGGACGTGGAGACACGGGGACGTGGAGAGACGGGGACGTGGAGACACGGGGACGTGGAGACACGGGGACGTGGAGACACGGGGACGTGGAGACACGGGGACGTGGAGACACGGGGACGTGGAGACACGGGGACGTGGAGACACGGGGACGTGGAGAGACGGGGACGTGGAGACACGGGGACGTGGAGACACGGGACGTGGAGACACGGGGACGTGGAGAGACCGGGGACGTGGAGACAGGAGACACGGGGACTGGAGACACGGGGACGTGGGAGACCGGGGACGTGGAGAGACACTGGGCCGGTGGAGAGCACGGGGAAGTGGAGACACGGGGACGTGGAGGACACTGGGACGTGGAGAGACGGGGAACGTGGAGACCCGGGGACGTGGAGACCGGGGACGTGAGACACGGGGACGTGGAGACACGGGGACGTGGAGAGAACGGGGACGTGGAGACACGGGGACGTGGAGACACGGGGACGTGGAGACACGGGGACGTGGAGAGCCGGGGACGTGGAGACACGGGGACGTGGAGAGCACGGGGACGTGGAGAGCACGGGACGTGGAGAGACGGGGACGTGGAGACACGGGGACGTGGAGAGACGGGCCGTGGAGAGCACGGGGACGTGGAGACACGGGGACGTGGAGGACACGGGGACGTGGAGACACGGGACGTGGAGACGGGACGTGGAGACACGGGGACGTGGAGAAACGGGGACGTGGAGACACAGGGACGTGGAGACACGGGGACGTGGAGACACGGGGACGTGGAGACACGGGGACGTGGAGAACGGGGACGTGGAGCACGGGGACGTGGAGGACACGGGGACGTGGAGACACGGGACGTGGAGAGACGGGGACGTGGAGACGACGGGGACGTGGAGACACGGGGACGTGGAGACACGGGGACGTGGAGAGACGGGGACGTGGAGACACGGGGACGTGGAGACACGGGGACGTGGAGAGACCGGGGACGTGGAGACACGGGGACGTGGAGAGACGGGGACGTGGAGACACGGGGACGTGGAGACACGGGGACGTGGAGGACACGGGGACGTGGAGACACGGGGACGTGGAGACACGGGGACGTGGAGACACGGGGACGTGGAGACACGGGGACGTGGAGAGACGGGGACGTGGAGAGACGGGGACGTGGAGCACGGGACGTGGAAGACGGGACTTGGAGACACGGGGACGTGGAGACACGGGGACGTGAGACACGGACGTGAGAGACGGGGACGTGGAGCGGGGACGTGGAGACACGGACGTGGATAGACGGGGACGTGGAGACACGGGGACGGGAGACGGGACGTTGGAGACACGGGATGGAGACACGGGACGTGAGACACGGGACTGGAGACACGGGACGTGGAACCGTGGACGTGGAGCGACGGGGACGTGGAGAGACGGGGACTGGATACCACGGGACGTTGGAGACACGGGGACGTGGAGACACGTGGAGACACGGGGACGTGGAGACACGGGACGTGGAGACACGGGGACGTGAGATACGGGGACTGGAGAACGGGGACGTTGGAGATACGGGACGTGGACACGGGACGTGAGAACGGGGACGTGGAGACGGGACGTGAGACACGGGGACGTGGAGAGACGGGACGTGGAGAGACGGGGACGTGGAGACACGGGGACGTGGAGACACGGGGACGTGGAGACACGGGGACGTGGAGAGACGGGGACGTGGAGACACGGGGACGTGGAGACACGGGGACGTGGAGAGACGGGGACGTGGAGACACGGGGACGTGGAGAGACGGGGACGTGGAGACACGGGGACGTGGAGAGACGGGGACGTGGAGACACGGGGACGTGGAGACACGGGGACGTGGAGACACGGGGACGTGGAGAGACGGGGACGTGGAGACACGGGGACGTGGAGAGACGGGGACGTGGAGACACGGGGACGTGGAGACACGGGGACGTGGAGACACGGGGACGTGGAGACACGGGACGTGGAGACACGGGGGACGTGGAGAGACGGGGACGTGGAGACACGGGGACGTGGAGACACGGGGACGTGGAGACACGGGGACGTGGAGAGACGGGGACGTGGAGACACGGGGACGTGGAGACACGGGGACGTGGAGACACGGGGACGTGGAGACACGGGGACGTGGAGACACGGGGACGTGGAGAGACGGGGACGTGGAGACACGGGGACGTGGAGACACGGGGACGTGGAGACACGGGGACGTGGAGACACGGGGACGTGGAGAGACGGGGACGTGGAGACACGGGGACGTGGAGACACGGGGACGTGGAGAGACGGGGACGTGGAGACACGGGGACGTGGAGACACGGGGACGTGGAGACACGGGGACGTGGAGACACGGGGACGTGGAGAGACGGGGACGTGGAGACACGGGGACGTGGAGAGACGGGGACGTGGAGACACGGGGACGTGGAGACACGGGGACGTGGAGAGACGGGGACGTGGAGACACGGGGACGTGGAGACACGGGGGCACTGTCCCACACGCTCTTCAACACACACTCAAATACGCACACACAACCACCGATATCCCCCCCCTGCCCCTGAAAAGCTCCACAAATATAGCCTACATAGACTGATGGAGCAAGTGCTGTTAGTGAGCACCTATGAACGCCAGCATAACACACAAGGGGGTGGGTGGCTATACCTCCTGCACCAGGTTATCATTTCAGGCCGAGTAGACCTACAGGAGGCTTAGGACAGGTTCATATATTCACCACTGATGTGAGCCATGGTCGGGAATCAAAGTCGTGCCCACGTGTACCTGTGTGTGTGTAACTGTGTGTGTGTACCTGTTTGTGTACGTGTGTGCCCGTGGCCTTAACGTGCACATAGCCTGGCACAAGCACCATGGTGCAGTCTCCGCTACTTAGTAGCGAATAGCGGTTGTTGTTGTGCCCGTGTGTGTACCCACTTGTATGTGCCCGAGCGTACGTGTACCCATGCATGTGTGCCCATGTGTGTGTGCCCATACTGCGGACTGGGCGGTGATGTGAGTGCAGCCAACGACGCGGGCGCCTGCAAGCGGCTTGTCTCCCTGCGCACGCTTCCGCAGCGCCATCAGCGCCGGCATCTCTACACACAGATACACACATATACACACGTATACACACGTATACACAAGCATGCATACACAAAGACAAATATCCCCCCTAAAGCCATACTCGTGTGTTGGGCCAAGTTATTTTTGCGAGCACCTATGAAGGACAGCACGGTACATACAAGTGTGAGATGACCAGCACCACACCTTGCCCCCATTGTCTCCCCAATGCTGATGTTTACTACATTTAAGGCCATATGCTAAGGTGAGGCACAGGAACGGTTCCGATGTCCACCACTGATATTGGGTGTGAGCAGGAACCTCGGGTCACCGGGTTCGTAGAGCAGTGCACTAATCACTGTCCCACCGGTCCCCCCCACAAAGACGAGGGTGCCGGTTGCGAGTTAAGATTAATCAGGTCTGGGGTTGTGCAATCACGATTCTGGGTTCATGGGTCATGGGTTCATGATCTTGGGTTCATGATCTTGGGTTCATGATCATGGGTTCAACAGTCGTGTGTTGTGGTTCCCCACGTCCCCACGTCATCGTCCCCACGTCGTGCAATCATTGTCGTCAACTGGTTTGCAGTCTTATCATCACCATCAGCAGCAGCCAGGAGGTGATGCTAGGTGGAGGCGGTGGCGATAGTTGTGGTTGTGGAGGTGGCTGCTGGGTTCTGTGTGACGGCGGTGCTGCTGTGTGGTGATGGTGGTGCTAATGAGTGGATGGTGATGGCGGTGGTGCTGGGTGCGGTGCTGGGTGGCGGTGATGTTGGCGTGGTCGCGTCTCCGCACCCTGCTCCGCGATCTCGATCTCGCGCCGCCCGAACTCCGCCTGCTTCACGTTCTTGACGCAGAAGTCACTTCCTCCCCGCGAGTTGAGTTGATTCTTCTCCCGCGGAGACACCTCATCGTCAGAGCTCTCCGAGTACGACGCTGCTACAATACACACGCGCACTCGTGTCACCTCGTCAGCCTCTATGCACACACACCAACACACGCCATTCATCACTAACGGACGATGATGTCGCCAAGGCGCCTGTGCGAGGCGCACTTTGAGGCCACGTGAAGTGTCGAAGGCTCACTGACAGGAGATCACGGGACAGACCCAGGTGACATGGGTTAGCTGACTGAGATGACTGGTAGATGCACCAGCTGTATCCCCTACTGTGCCAACTTGCTACATATTAGACGATTGGCGCTCCGCTCGTTGTTGTGAGTGTCGCTCCTCTGCCCTGAGTTGTTGTTGGAGGACGACTGCTTCCATCTGCCCAGTAGTGTCCTTCATGAGCCTCCTCGACAGAGGCCGATCTTGACACCACTGGTACCAGTCTTCAGCAAGTCCACTCAGCTCCACATCCTCCCATACCACATCAGTCCATCTCTCCCTAAGCCCATGTCGTGCCCATTTAGCTCCCTATATGCGGCCAAACAGAAGCTGCTTGGGCATGCGGTGGATGGGAAATGCGGGTTACATGACCCAGCCTGCCGGAGGAGCTCAATGATGGGAATGTGCCCAGATCTTTAAAGGATTTGTGAGCTCCTCACTCAATCCAGCCTGGTTAAATGCGGGATGGATCGTAGACAGGCCCAGCATGAATGTTTCTAACCGGTGCAGATGTTCCACCAGAGGGATCCACGTTTCACAAGCCAAGAGAAGGGAGGGCATGAATGTGGCTAAGAAGACCCGAAGCTTCGCGCGGAGCGACAGACCAGGTAGCTTCCGCACAGGTTTACGCAGCCGATAAAAATATAATGTCGCCCGACTGATTCGGAGTGAGACCTCTGCTGTCAAACAGGAGCTGGTCATAAGCACACTGCCCAGGTATGGGAAACTCCACTCTCTCCACAACTGCTCCATCACCAATCGGGAGCTGAGGGGGCGGAGTGTTTGATAGGATAAAATACCCAGGCAGGTGCTTAGTTTTGGTGGTGCTGATGGTAAAACCCCTACACACACACACACACACACTTGTACATACACAAAGACGAAGATCCCCCATATAGCCTTCACAGGCTGTTGGGGCAAGTCTTGTTAGTGAGTAGCACCTATTTAGGCCAGCACAGCACATAATGGGGTAGAGTGGCCAGCACCACGCCTGGCCGCCTTTTGTCTCCCTCCCAGTACTGATGTTTATGTATCTCAAGAGGTACTCATTGAAGGATGAGTTGAGCTAGGAAAGGCCCAGTACCAGTTTGGATATTGAACTTGGATCGCCGAGCTCGCAATGCAGAGCGCTAACCGCTACACTACCGCTCCCCACACACACACTCATACACGCGCACGCCCCACCTCACCAGCCTGATCCCCCAAATCCTGGTCTCTATCCCTCAGTGACCCCCCACCACTCCCCACCCTTTGAACGTCGTACCCGAGCTGTAGCTGTCGGTGGAGGACTGCGAGATGGAGCGAGAGAGCGAGCGTCGTCCAGTCTTGACGGGACGACGCTGGAACTCCAGCTGCTGGTCAGCAAACTGGATTTGCTGTGTGAGCCATGAGAGATTGGAGGGGGGGTTGGGGGGCGAGGGTGATTTCATAGGTCATTCAGGGTCAGCCCCCCTCTTGCCCCCGCTGAAGGCAACCCAGGCCAAACAACTGGTCTCACGGCCATCATCATTGGCCTGGTGGTGGTAGCGATGTTGTTGATAGAGGGTGGATGTGGGTGCCGGGTAGTGGCAGGTGGTGGAGTTAGGTGGTGGGTGGTTGGTGGTGGTGGCGGGAGTGAGTGGTGGTGGCAGTGCTAGGTGGTGCTGGGTGGTGCCGAGTAGTGCTGGGTGGTGTATGTATGTTGAACTTCTTTTGCACCATATGTAGCCAAACACGCTTATCGGAGGTGCGGGGGAAGGACAACAAACTAAAAACAAAAAGGAGTACTAAAGAAATGTGTTTTCAATCTAGATGATTTAAAAGTCCATAGCTCCAGTTGCTTCCTAATATCGGAAGGAAAACCGTTCCAGACGGCCACAGAAGTGCATTTGAAAGTGTGGTTGGTGGTGCTGGCCCGGTGATGATGGTGTTTGTATTGGTGGTGGCAGTGATGGTGGCGGTGATGGTGGTTGGCGGTGATGGTGGGTGGTGGTGGTGTCGGTACTGGGTGGTGGTGGTTGGTGATGGTGGAGGGTGCAGGGTGGTGGTGGTGTCGGTACTGGGTGGTGGTGGTTGGTGATGGTGGAGGGTGCACGGTGGTGGTGGATGGTGGTGGCGGTTCTGGGTGGTGGTGGCGGTTCTGGGTGATGACCGTGGCAATGTCTCGGATTATTTATTCCTGTGAGTGGGGGAAGCAGCACATTCTGTTCTGAGGAGAGAGGGTGGTCGGCATGGGAACCGGGTGTGGGGGTCGTGGAGATTAAACAACACATACGTACGCATCCACACACACACACACACTCCCCCACAAACCGCACACACCCACACCTACAAAGACAAAGAGCTCCCTGTAGACCGTCTGTCAAAGTGGTTAAACACTGTTAGCGGGAACCTTTGAAGGACAGCACAGCACACAAGAGAATGGGGTGGCCAGCACTAAAATCGACCTAGGGTAGTCCCAGGACCGGTTTAGATATTCTTCACCCACGTTAGTGGCCGTGGGCGGAAATTGAATTTGCGTTGCCGGGATCGGAGCGCAGTGCGCCAACCGCTGCACCACCACTCCACCGTATGGAGCGTATGCGCACGCACAGACTTCGGAAACCTTGCCAAGGTGCGCACTGCGGGTCTGGCACCCCCCCCACGCACTGTACTGTTACCTTCCGTCATGCCCAGTGCAAAGTCGCAGGCGGGTCCATTTAACACTGAGAAGGACCCCAAATGTCAGCTGGGTTTGTGGTGTACCCCACAGGAACCCTGCCACTGATGTCGGCGTGCGCCAGGGGTTACGCAACATCAATGGGGCTTGAGTGAGCGGCGGAGGACAAAGCGAGCGGAACCGCACAGCTCACCTATGCCATCTCCAGCCTCTCTCTCTCCCTCTCCCTGACATTTACCCAAGCCACGGTCACCGTCAAGGATGACAGTTGTCCCACCTTTCAACATACAAACAATCCGAGTCAATCGGCTGATCACGTGTGGTTAGGTAAAGTGCGGGTACTCCGACACCTCTTCCCAAACATCTGCTCAGCGTGGAAGGGCAGGCAAAATGCCATGCAGAGGGGCTTTCTCGAACTCCCTCGAAGTGGAGAACTTGGGTGGGTGAATGGGTGTATCTGCAATTCAGCAACTCTCAGACAAATCAACAGAAAGGCTAAGTCACTGACAGGTGAATCTCCAATAGTTGTTCTTCATAGGCCATATGCAAGAGGAACTGGAGAGTGACATTGTATCGGGTCTTCCTAAGGCTTCACGGAACGGGAGCGGACGTAAAAATAATGGAAGTGACACTCGGGGGATCGGTTAGGAACGGGATTAATAGCTTCTAAAAGAGCCAAAGGATAGAGCGAGTTCGCTCACGTGCCTGAGGCTCGAGGATCGTTGGTAGCAAACTAAATGGCTGGATTTTAGATTTGAAGCTTTAGTGACTGCAAGGATTCATACTCTTAGTTCTTTCGGTAAAGTCACGTAGGTAAAAAATGAAATTAAAATTAATAAAAAATAAAATAATAATAAATCACGACGTTTCGGAGGCAACACAAGTCTCCGTCATCAGGTGGGACCGTCACAGCCAGATTCACTTGATACAGAAAATCTGGCTGTGACGGTCCCACCTGATGACGGAGACTTGTGTTGCCTCCGAAACGTCGTGATTTATTATTATTTTATTTTTATCAATTTTAATTTCATTTTTTACCTACGTGACTTTACCGAATAAACTAAGAGTATAAATGGCTGGAGTCGGGCTGCAGGATTCTGGACTCTGATCGCCGCGGCGAGATGCGCCTCTTCACAAAGCGCAGCGCTCGGTGAACACGAAGTGGTTCAGCAGTGGCGCACTCACTGCTCATGGCAGAGGTTTGCGGTTGAAATTCGGTAGGTCTGTCCTGGTTGTAACCGCGGTGTGTAACAGCATCAATCGTACAAATGCTGCGTGCCGTCTGCGTCAAAGTGGACGTTACAGATCCCCGTGAATTCGAAACTAGTAGGATGCCATTGTGTGCCGGCGTTACAGTCCCAAGTTTTAGACCGAAAAATTACTAAATATGGATTCCACGTAAAAACAGCACTCCCTCCTGGCAAACTCCAGATGCAGGGACATGGGCTGACTGGCATCACGCGCAGCCCTTTTGTCAATCCACTGCTGCTCGAGGGCATCCCCGTGAAGTGCGCGGTGTGGTGGTGGTTGATTTGACCATACTTCACCACGCTGATTTGTGTGGCTTGGCGAATTTGGGGAGCATAGACATGGGAGCAAAGCAAGTACCAGACAGCAATGGTTTTTTTTCTGCACTGCCCTCTGCTGCCCACTAAATAGCACAGGCCCCTGGTGGCCTATGGCAACCTGTGCATGCATTCCGGTCACCCATCCACGGGCTAACCGGCCTTCTCCCCGCTTAACTTCTGAGAAGTGACAAGACCGGGCACATTCCAGGTAATTTGCTTTATGGGTGGAACATTCAAATAGAGTTGCCAAATGTAAAACTTTCCATGCTAGGCACGGCTTATCAAAACAACCCAACAAAGTCAAAGGGGCGGCAGGGTGGCGGCGCGGTGGTGACGCTCACGCCTCACAGCAAGAATTTCCTGGCTTCAATTCCCAATTCAGGTGCCTCTCTTTGTGTCGTGTTTGTTCGTTCTCCCCTTGGTCTGGAGTGTGGGTGAGCGAGTGAGTGGGAGTCAGCGTGTGTGAATGAGTGCAGTTGGTACGTTCTCCTACTGGTCTGCACAGTGTGAGTGGGTGAATGAGTGGAGTTTGTACGTTCTTCCACTGGTCTGCAGAGTGTGGGTGAGCGAGTGAGTGGAAGTCACGTGTGTGAATGAGTGCAGTTGGTACGTTCTCCTACTGGTCTGCAGAGTGTGAGTGGGTGAATGAGTGGAAGTCACGTGTCTGAATGAGTGCAGTTTGTACGTTCTCCTACTGGTCTGCACAGTGTGAGTGGGTGAATGAGTGGAAGTCACGTGTGTGAATGAGTGCAGTTGGTACGTTCTCCTACTGGTCTGCACAGTGTGAGTGGGTAAATGAGTGGAGTTTATACATTCTCCCACTGGTCTGCAGAGTGTGAGTGGGTGAATGAGTGGAGTTTGTACATTCTCCCACTGGTCTGCAGAGTGTGAGTGGGTGAATGAGTGGAAGTCAACGTGTGTGAATGAGTGGAGTTTGTACATTCTCCCACTGGTCTGCAGAGTGTGAGTGGGTGAATGAGTGGAAGTCAACGTGTGTGAATGAGTGGAGTTTGTACATTCTCCCACTGGTCTGCAGAGTGTGAGTGGGTGAATGAGTGGAAGTCAACGTGTGTGAATGAGTGCAGTTTGTACATTCTCCCACTGGTCTGCACAGTGTGAGTGGGTGAATGAGTGGAAGTCACGTGTGTGAATGAGTGCAGTTGGTACGTTCTCCTACTGGTCTGCACGGTGTGAGTGGGTGAATGAGTGGAGTTTATACATTCTCCCACTGGTCTGCAGAGTGTGAGTGGGTGAATGAGTGGAAGTCAACGTGTGTGAATGAGTGGAGTTTGTACATTCTCCCACTGGTCTGCAGAGTGTGAGTGGGTGAATGAGTGGAAGTCAACGTGTGTGAATGAGTGGAGTTTGTACATTCTCCCACTGGTCTGCAGAGTGTGAGTGGGTGAATGAGTGGAAGTCACGTGTGTGAATGAGTGCAGTTTGTACATTCTCCTACTGGTCTGCAGAGTGTGAGTGAGTGAATGAGTGGGAGTCAGCGTGTGTGAATGAGTGGAGTTTGTACATTCTCCCACTGGTCTGCAGAGTGTGAGTGGGTGAATGAGTGGAAGTCACGTGTGTGAATGAGTGGAGTTTGTACGTTCTCCCACTGCTCTGCATAGATTTCCTGGGGTTACTCCAGTTTTCATCCATAGCATTAATATCCCAGTGTAACCGATATTGGTCATACATCCCAAAGTAAAACAATTACGCAGCAAATCACTCAATTGGGATCACGCACGGCAGAGTCATTGATAATTATTCAAGTAATTCATCCTCTGTGTATCATTTTACACATCGCTATTCGCTTTTCTCAGTAACTCTGTTGTTTACGTATGATTGAGTTCACGTTCAAGTGAGTTCATGTAGGAGTGAGTTTACATGCGATTGTTTTATGTATCCCTCGATGCAACTTCCTCTGTCATTTTCTGCTAACTCCAACTTGGGACTAGACATCTTTGTATATAAAAAAACCAGCTTCACAGCTCATCTGGGTTCTTCCAGATCTAATATCTACTAAGTAATCAGACAGCCAGCCCAGCTCTAGCCAGCCCAGCCCCTATCCTCTCTTTGTGCCCCTCAACAAGGCACCGTTGCCTGCAACGTCAGCCTCGCGATTAATACTGTCTGCTAACTTAACTTCAACTAAACTGTTATGAGGCAGTGATAACACGAAGGCATTCGTGTTAACATAAATATGTATTACCGAAGCCATCAACAGAAGGTTTGTAGTGGATCTAATGATCCTTTGGCAAATTATATGTTGGTCAGACACCACAAATATATTAAATACTCCTAAACACAACTGTCGGCAGGTCCAGAACATGCGTGCCAACAAGGACACTCAATTGATTTTGAAAATGTTGAGGTTATGTGCGAAACTTGTTACTACCGGCCAAGACTAATTAGAGAGTCTATTAAAATCGACAGAAATACTTTTTTACCGTTCTGATAGCGACAGACGTAGTGCTGCTTGGAAGCGTATTATCAAGTAATACACTGTTCAACTGCATGCCTATACAGGTCACCATGCATCGATGGTGATTAACTGTGAGCAGGTATTGAGTTTTTGGGGCCCAAAAACGTCAGAATGTACATACATAATGGACCTACATAATGTACATAAATGATGTACATTATGTTGATTAACTGTTAATAACCCAACCAATAATAGATATCCATTGTCATTTATATGAAGAGATATTATCCCCCCACCCCTGGTCTTCACAAGTGATGACATCACATTTATCCCTCTATTTAAGACCGAAACGTTAGGATTCTCCACAACTATGGCTGTCGCCTGATGAGGCTAGTTGTAATTACCGGTGAAACGTCGTACTTGAATTCTAAATGTTGTGGGTTTACTCGCCACCACTCCGGTGTGCTGAACTAGTAACTAATCGGCATGTTTAGTTTACGTGACAAACCTTACTAATTTGCTGCTTCGGGTGGTAACGGGGTTAACGACACATTTATATTTACGCGATCAAACCCAAACAAAACCTCCATTACTAAGGCAGTGTGCATGGCTAGCGTTGCGAGGTCTGGATAAGCGTGCTGTTTGACAAAACTGCCGACCTCGTCCCTCTGTTTGTTGGATTGTTATCACAGGGAGCGAGAGCGCGTGATTCACACATCACCAATCTGAGCAAGCACTGGGGCCCCCATCTCACTATCTCCCACAGGGACGTCAAGTTTCATTCCTGTGCCACTCCAAAAAAATAAAGACCCACCCACCCCCCCCCCAAATCTAGCCTTGAACAGCCTGTTGGGGCAAGTGCTGTTAGCAGGCACCTTATGAATGCCAGCACTGCGCACGGGAGGGTGGGTGGCCATAACCAAGCCCGGCCGCCTTTGTCTCCCTTATGCTGATGTTTACAAACCACATCAGGTACTCATTTGAGGCTGAGTCGACCGAGAGGAGGCCCAGGATTGGTTAAAATAATCGTCACTGATATTGGGCTGTTAGCGGAATCTAATTCAGGTCACTGGGTTCGTAGTGCAGCGCGCTAATCGCTACAACAGCTGCCATTCACCACAAAGTTGCGGAGACGTCACCACGACGCTTGTGCCAGGCTATGTGCACTTTAAGGCCACGTGAAGTGTCGAACGCCCGCTGGAAGGTCATGGGACAGGCCCAGGTGCCATGGGTCGACTGACTGAGACGACTGGCCGATGCACCACCTGTGCCCCCTACTGTGCCATTTTTCTGTGTTCTAGCCACCCGGCGGACCGCTCCACACAGTCAGACACAGTCAAACACGCACACACACAACATGAAACATACATACACAACCGCTCACAATAACCCAGGCACACACCGGGGCGTCGCAGTGGCGAATTTTTTACTCCCACGCCTGGTATGCGCAGGTTGTGGTTTCGGTCCCGACCTTGATGCGTGTATATTTGGAGTTTGGTGGATTTTTCACCGGCTCCTCCGGTTTTTCCCTCCACATTAGAAGCATGTGTTTAGAGTAGTTGGCTGTTTTAAATTTCCACATGATAAGCCACTTCGTTGAGTTATCATTTTTGACCAGGTCGCTTCTGAAAAAGAGCTGCCGAGCTCAGTGGGCCTTACTGAGTAAAATAAAATAAAAATGTTCAGTTTAGTTTCACTGACAAATTCCCCATGTGCCGCCGACACAAAGTGTGGGCAATTGATGTTAGTAAGCACACATTACGGGCAGCATGGCGCATGATAAACACTGCTGCAGATACTCCTTTAAGGCCGAGTCGACCTACAGGAAGCCAAGAATGACATTGGCAATGACCTGGAATCAATATTTGGCAGTGCACTAATCATTATGCCACCGCTCCTCACGTGGAAGAAACACACTTTGACAAATACACCCGTGCACACACACCCTGCACAAACACACGCTCCTCAGACACGCACACACACCTCAGACACTCTCATGTCCACATTGCATACACACACACACAACTCCATCACACGAGGGGGTGGGTGGCCAACACCACGCTCGGACCGCCTTTGTCTTCCCAGTGGCGATGTTTACACATCGCACCACGTTACTCATTTGAGGCTGAGTCTACCTAGGGGAGGCCAAGGACCGGTTCAGATAATCGTCACTGGGTGTTGGCCGTGAGCGGGAATCGAACCCGGGATGCCGGGTTCGTAGGGCAGCGCGCTAACCGCTACATCCACCGCTCCCCACACGCACCTGCACACACACACACACACATTAACTATTACACACACACACATTCTTGGTCCTTTCGGTAAAGTCACGAAAGAACCAATAATATGAATCCCTGCAGTCACGAAATCTTTAATTAAAAATGTATTACACACACACACAAAGCTCCCCCGTACAGCCTCACACACACACGCACGCCCCCACTCACCCACACTGATAACCCTCCAACACGCACACACACTCGCACGTACGTACGCACGAACCTTGACTATCTCGCACACACCTCGCCACACACACACACACACAACGCCCATTCACCACTCAGTGATGGTGACGTCACTACAGCGCTTGTGCCAGGCTAGGTGTACCTTGAGGTGCAAGGTGCACCGAACTCACATACGCACCTACACTAATACAGCACTCTCCCACACACACGCAAGGCCGGCACGGCACACGAGGGAGTGGGTGTCCAACACCACGTCCGGCCGCCTTTGTCTCCCCCAATGCTGACGTTGACACACCGCACCAGGTACTCATTTAAGGCCGAGTCTACCTAGTGGAGGCCCAGGATTGGTTCAGACAATCGCCCCCAGCGGGCGCACATTCATACACGCCGCGACACACACAACGTGCACACACCGACACACACTGACACACACACTGATACACAACAACAACAACAACCGCCATTCGCCACTAAGTGGCGGTGACGTCACCACGATGCTTGTGCCAGGCCAAGTGCACCTTGAGGCCACGTGAAGTGTCGAAAGCCCGCTGGCAGGAGGTCACGGGGCAGACCCAGGTGCCACTGGTCGACTGACCGAGATGACCGAGATGACTGGCTGATGCACCACCTGTGCCCCCTACTGTGCCAACTTGCTGTGCTTTAGCCACCCGGCGCTCCGCTCGTTGTTGTGAGCGTCGCTCCTCCGCCCTCCGTTGTTGTTGGAGGGCGACTGCCTCCAACTGCCCAGTAGCGTCCTTCACGAGCCTCCTCCACTGAGGCCGATCTTGACACCGCTGGTACCAGTCATCGGCAAGTCCACTCAGCTCCACGTCCTCCTGTACCACATCACTCCATCTCTTCTCCAGCCCGTGCCGCGCCCGTCTAGCCCCCTCGATCCGGCCGAACAAAAGCTGTTTAGGCATGCGGTGGCTGGGCATGCGGGCTACATGACCCAGCCAACGCAGCCTTGCCTGCCGGAGGTGCTCACCGATGGGACTTTGCCCAGATCTTTCAAGGATTTGTGAGCTCCTCACACAATCCAGCCTGGTTAAACCCAGGATGGATCGTAGGCAGGCCAGCCTAAATGTTTCCAACCGGCGAAGATGCTCCACCAGGGGGGTCCACGTCTCGCAAGCGTAGAGAAGGGAGGGAATGACCGTGGCCGAGAAGACCTGAAGCTTCGTGCGGAGCGACAGACCAGGTAGCTTCCACACAGCGTTACGCAACCGATGAAAAGATATTGCCGCTCGACTGATTCGGAGTGAGACCTCTGCTGATAGACTGGAGCCGGTCATAAGCACACATACCGACACACACACCGACACACACGCCGACACACACACACCGATACACACACAAGACGTACACACCAACACACAACGCGCGCACACCGACACACACAACGAGCAAACACCGACACACACAACGACACACACAACACACACACAACAGGCACACAACGCGCATACACTGACAACGCGCACACACTGACACACACAACGCGCACACCGACAAACACACACCGACACACAACGCGCACACACCGACACACACATTGACACACACTGACACACACACCGACACACACACCGATACACACACAACGCACACACACTGACACACACAACGCGCACACACTGACACACACGACACACACACCGACAAACACACACCGACACACAACGCGCACACACCGACACACACATTGACACACACTGACACACACACCGACACACACACCGATACACACACAACGCACACACACAACGCATACACTGACACACATTTGACTCCTGCAGTCAGGACAAAAGCGCGACACCGGTAGGGATACGAATACCACCACCACCAACCACCATCACCACCACCACCATCACCACCACGACGACAACACTATCATCCCTCGTGCGAGCCCCCTCCCTCTCCACCCTCTCCACCGTCGCTGCCCCTCGCCGCTCACCTTGCGAACCTTCACTTCGCTCTTGGCCTGCGCGCTGGCGGGAGCCTCCTTCTCCACGCTGTTGTCCGCCATCGCTGCGCCTCGGTGGAGGAGACGGGTGGGGGGGGCTGTGGAGGAAGGAGGGGGCGGGGCTTAGGAGGGGCGTGGCCTGTGGGGATGGGCGTGGCCTCGGGGATGAGAGGGGGCGTGGCCTGTTGAGATGGGCGGGGCCTCAGGGGGATGAGGGAGAGGCGTGGCCTGTGGGGATGGGCGGGGCCTCGGGGGATGAGAGGGAGGGGCGTGGCCTGTGGGGATGGGCGGGGCCTCAGGGGGATGAGAGGGGGCGTGGCCTGTGGGGATGGGCGGGGCCTTAGGGGGATGAGAGGTAGGGGCGTGGCCTGTAGGGATGGGCGGGGCCTCAGGGAGATGAGAGGGGGCGTGGCCTGTCGGGATAGGCGGGGCCTTAGGGGGATGAGAGGGAGGGGCGTGGCCTGTGTGGATGGGCGGGGCCTCGGGGGATGAGGGGGAGGGGCGGGGCCAGCGGAGCTTGCGCAGAAGGGCGGAGCTAAACGATGTATCGTGCGGGGCAAAGTTCCAAGTTCATGACCTATAGACACACAAGGGCCGTTGCCCGAAACGTCGCCTGTTATATTTAAATAGGGGCCGTCCATAAATGACGTCACGCGATTTTGTACGATTTTTGACTCCCCCCCCCCCTTCGTTACACAGCGTCACAAAAAGTCAGACCCCCCCCTCAAATATGACGTCACAAAGCTCTGCCCCCCCCCCAAAAAAGTAAAACATGCTTCAAATCGCTTTCAACTATTGTCATTGTAAAGTGCGTATTTAATGTGGCGCTGCACTCTGATGTTATAGGAGAAATCATTTATTAAAAAGTCTATTTAATTAAGTAGAACGTGTTGTCTATATTTATTTAAAGTTGCGCATTTTGATGTGACGTCACATTTCTCAAACCGCCCCCCCCCCTCGGTGCGTGACGTCATTTATGGACGGCGCCTTAGTGACGAATGTGTCATTGCTTTTGTTTGCTATTAATTGTGCTGGTGTACCAAAGACAACGCAGCAGCATTGTGACCAAATCATGTACAAAGACAAAGATCCCCCGTATAGGCTTAACAGACTGTTGGGGCAAGTGCTGTTAGCGAACACCTATGCACGAGAGCCACGCGAGTTGAGTTAAGCGAGGTGCAGCCATCGCCTGTCACAGACAAGGGCGAAAACGTGCTTGAGGAGGGCCTTAAAAGAAACACATTCCTGTGGAGGGAGCTGGTAGGAACGTTGGGTTGCTCGGTCAATGGCCAGGGTCAACGGCGGCGTGGTGTATTCCGCAAATATGCCCGACTGTGAGGGCGGGCACAAGCCGGCGTGAGAAGGTTAAACGTTGAGTTTTATAAGGGCACCGCGGGGTGACCAGCCCCTCCCCACCCAGCCCCACCCTCCCTACCCAGCCCGACCCCACCCTCTCCACCCAGCCCCTCCCCACCCTCCCCACCCTCCCCACACAGCCCCTCCCTGCACGACGGACGGACACAATAATCCCCTGTGGGCTGGTGTAATCAGAGGTTCCTACCAGTATAAAAACAAATCTTATAGACGACATGTCGGGCAATGACCCTTATTAATAGCCCCATAATTCGAACCCATACATTGGACTGCATTTGTTCACGTTATCTGCCAGTTAATGATCTACTTTAGGCCATCTCAATAGCTGACGAGATACTGAACGTCGGAACCGGTTCCGAGTTTTTGCTTTTTGCTAAACCAATGCTGATTAAATGTCGCACTTGCAGAAAGAAGGCCGTTTGGTTGACTGCATGTGTAGAACAACATATCTGTGTTAATGTGGAGTAACAGATTTGGGCAGGAAAAGAATTGTCTGCTGCTGATTTAGCGTCATTTAATCATCATTGACCAATCGTGACGTCGCATCCGCGGACTGCCATGGTCAAGTTCAAGTTCAAGTTCATTTATTAGGTATAGCCCTGTGAGCCATTCAGCTCTTGAATCGGGTGCAACCGCAACAAACAAAAAACAAAAACATGAACAAAAAAAACATCTTAAAGTGAATATGTGACTAAGTGCAAACAGAAAATCCAAGAAAAGACAGCAAAAATATTGCAGAAAAAACACCGTACACCAACGCTGTGTGCAAAAATGCCAGTGGGATGCAAGTCAAACAACAACAACAACCACAAGACAACTTAGATTAAGGCCATCAGTCTAACTCTGTACTACAACAACACAAACATGGCTAAACCAATACACTTTTCGAAATCACCAAAATAAAGCCATGAAGGCAATGAAAAAGCAATCATAGGAACTGACGGAATTTTCACAATAAATGGCATAAACAACATGTACTACCAAAACCCTGCAGCCATAGCTGGCTGCATGAGTCACTCCACAACAGCAGGAGCATCAATCGGAGTATTGTAATTTTTCAATGCACCTTTAAGATCAGCACACTAAATCAAAACACAGGTCATACTTTGTAGCGATCATCCGGAGCGAAACATTTTATTTTAGGTCACTGAATAGCACTGGCAGCTAGGGGTGTACAACTCCTCTAAAGCAGTTTTGAGTGAAGATCTCATAGGTAGTGACTCAAGTTTCAATTTATTTGCAACAGCATTCCAGACCCTGGGGGCATCAATAGCAAAGGCCCTTCCTCCAGTATATGTACGGCAATAGGGAATATTAAGCTGGTAAATGAGTGTAGACCTTAGGTCAAATTTGTTATTTGAAACAGAGACGAGATCCAGCAGGTAATCTGCAGATTTTTTTGCAAGTACATCATGAATAAATAAGATCTGGTGCACAAGCCGTCGAACATTCAGAGATGTTAAGTTTGACCCAATGTAGAGATCACAGTGGTGAGTCCTATATGGGCAGTTCAATGCAAATCTTAAGGCCGAGTGATACATTGAGTCAAGCTTCTTCAGTACAGTACTTGGGGCTGATTTATACACAATGTCACAGTAATCAAGTAGAGGCAGTACGGTAGCTTTAATCAATTCCAAACGGAACATAGGAGGGAAGCAGTGCTTGTGTCGATATAGAAAACCAATTTTAATTTTTGTCTTTTTCCCAATATAATCAATGTGATCTTCAAAATTCAGTTTTGAATCCAGGATGACCCCAAGATACTTATAGATCTTGACTTGCTCTATTTGATCATTATTTAAGGTATGTAATTGGGGAAAAATAACTTCCCGCTTTAGTCCTGGTGAGAAGCATAGCACCTTGGTTTTGGCAGGATTTAGGACTAGTTTAAGAGCAACTAGCTGATGTTGTAGTTTGTTGAAATCACTCTGGAGCTTAGCAATCACGTCATCCGGAGAGCGGCCAGCAGTAATTAGTACCGTGTCATCTGCAAAAAGATTTACCCTGGAATAATCCAGTTCAGTGCCCAAGTCATTTACATAAAGAGAGAACAAGAGGGGGCCGAGAATGGAACCCTGTGGAACCCCTTTTGTTATCTTAACACTGTTTGACCTCCAACCATCTGTGAATACAGTTTGGGTGCGAGAAAAGAGGTAATTTTTTAACCATTTTACTGTGTTTTCGGAAAAACCGAGGCAACTTATTTTACTAAGCAGGATGTTGTGGTCTACTGTATCAAAAGCTTTGGACAAGTCAAGAAAAAGACAGGCGCAGTACTGCTTATTATCAAGGCTACTGTAAATGTGATTCAGAGAGTCTAATGCAGCAGATGTGGTGCTGTATTTTTTTCGGAACCCAGATTGTTTTAGATGTAATAGATTGTTGGCGGACAGGAAACTGCTAATTTGGTAGGTCAATAATTTTTCAAAAATTTTCATCAACGGGGACAAAATTGAGATAGGTCGGTAGTTATTTGGATCATCTTTAGGGCCCCCTTTGTGAAGTGGACGAACATAGGAATGTTTCCATTCTAGAGGAACTGATGCTTCTTTGATGGACAGGTTGAAAATATGGGCTATAGGTTTGTATATTAGATGACCAACAGTTAGTAGAGCAAAGACGGGAATACTATCTGCTCCGGTAGAGGAGGACCCTTTGAGGTAGGACAGTTGTTTCAGATCAATCTACTGCTAGATAAAGGCCTCCGCGAGCCTTCACCATCTCTCACAAACCTACCACGTAACGATCCACCGAGCACATCCTTGCACGCGAGCTCATTTCCATCGCTCCTTCTCCTCGCACTCATTTCATCGACCTCGCGTGCAGACCCGACGTGCGGCCATGATGGACAACACGTGTTTGCTGACGTCACACGGCCATTGAGCGTGACGAATCACCGCTCAGCCGGTCCCTGCTAAGGTCGTGGCCACGCTGCCATCATCTTCAGCAGCATTGGTCGATCCACAGCTGCATGCTTAGAGGGATATCAGCGTAAATAGCATTTGCCGTCACATTCACATGGGTGACGTCATCAAAGGGAGGGAGTGGCGTTGCGGCAGTTCGGCGAGGCGAGTTCGGCTAAGGGGCCGTCCATAAATGACGTCACGCACCTAGGGGGGAGGGGTCAGACATTTGTGACGAAGGGGGGGGGGTTGAGAAATGTGACGTCACATCAAAATGCGCAACTTTAAATAAAAATAGAATTGTTATAACAACACTCCTACAACATCAGAGTGGAGCGCCACATTAAATACGCACTACAATGACAATAGTTTAAAGCGATTTGAAGCATGTTTTATTTTCAAAATGGAAATATGGTTTTGGGAGGGGGGGGCAGAGCTTTGTGACGTCATATTTGAGGGGGGGGTCTGACTTTTTGTGACGCCGTGTGACGATGGGGGGGAGGGTCAAAAATCGTCCAAAATCGCGTGACGTCATTTATGGACGGCCCCTAACATCATTGGCGAGTGATATCTGAACTGCTATGCTGGGTTCCCTCCGCACCGAGTGACCAACGTGGTGAAGTGTGGTCATACAAACCCACATGACCAGCATGGTATTGGGAGGGAGGCTTTCATCCAGTCGTGAATTGATCATAGCCGATGATGATTTTACGGTATTACAACCTTCCCCGAGTTACATGTGCTCGTATCTGTTTCAACATCATTTGTGTATTTAAAGCTTTCGTGACTGCAGGGATTCATATTCTTGGTTCTTTCGGTAAAGTCACGTAGTAGGGAAGT